GTAAAGTAACATACTGAAGATGAGTGATTCAATTGAATGACAAGACAAAACGTTTGGTGATATTATGTGGCAGATTATTGCCAGCCAATGGCATGCTTTCCCTCCAGATAGTTGGTGATGTCAGGTCCTGTTCCCACAACAACACACCAGCATCTGCCACACAAGTCCTATTGTGGATCAATGACCACACCATACAGGGAGGCAGTGTGGGAAAGTGTGCTCAACTTGTTACTCACACCGACAATGAGGCACGTGTCAAATGACTGCTAACCTGGACAGCATTTCTTCGTGCTTTACATAGTTAAAAATAGTTTTCCATGATTTCAACGAAGATTTAACAAAAATATAATATTTTAAATGGTGCACAAATCTGATGCTGATGAAAGCAAAAAAGATAACAATACCTTTTTGCAAAAACAATTGAACAGTTTTACGTAATAAATTTAATGTTTGAATTGAAACTCTCAAACTTTAGAAGATGAGAGTACACATTTGTTTTTTTTTTCATACTTATAATACAAAGTGCTCCAAGAACAAACTCCCCATGTAAAAGTAAAGACATGTACAGACATGTGCTGAGTCAAAGGCATTGATCTAGCATCAGGCAGCAGATCTGCTCTCTCTACAGGGTCAACACTTTCCCAGATTCAAATAGAAGCTCTGTCAGTGTCTCTCCATTACCCCCAGTCCTCCAGCTGTTCCCCTGAGATCTGATCATTGTCCCTCAGGCATTGAGAGCATAAAGTGTGTTGCCACACCACATGCCTTATTGTACCAACAAGCTCTCTGATTGGATGAGACTGTGGGAAACTCCAGTCAGACCCAAACCCACACATTCATATGGAGATGTGGGACTATAAATAGGAGGGATGAAGCCAGCAGAGATCAGATTCTCTCTACAGAGACCTCTACAGCACAGACATCCAGACATGGCACCTACAATCACTGCAGCAATGACCAACTCTCAGGAGCATCTGACTCTGACCCACAAGGTAAATTCAAGATCCAAGAAAACTGAACCCTTTCATTTGAAGATGTCTTCTTACACTAACATGCTTCTCAGAATAAGTTGACTAATGATTTTTGTTTTTCTTTCTGCAGCTCAGAAAGCCTCAGGTGGAGAAGTTACGCAGAGAGCGAATCAACAGCAGCATTGAGCAGCTCAAGTCTCTCCTGGGTCCAGAGTTCCTCAAACAAGAGCCAGACTCCAAGCTGGAGAAAGCAGACATCCTGGAGATGACAGTTTGTGTCCTCAGACGACTCCAGCAGCATCAGATTGTGAACTCAGCAGCTGTCAACAAGGATTCTCCAGCTGTGTCCAAGAGACGACACACTTTCTGTCCAAACAGCAAGTGAACATGAAGTCCCAGAGAAGACTGCTGAACCACTTCAACAAGCTGCAGCCTTCCTCTGATAAGAACCTGAGAGAGGCTGACTTCTCTCCTCTGAGCTCCACAGTCCAGACCAGCAACACCAAAGAGAAGAGTCCAGTCAACAGCGCCCCCTGGAGGCCGTGGTAGACATCTAAGACTGGAGTTACTACCAGACAAACTGAGACGACCACATTGGACATACTGTATATTACTGGACTGAAATCTAGGAGAGTTTTTGAACATGTTTTCTTCAATTCTTGTCATGCATGTTGCATGATCCAAATCTAATTGCTTCAGCAATTGTTATATATCACTGTACTTTATGTATAGCTGGTATATGATCCGGTTACATTTGTAATCCTTTAATATTATTGATCATACTGATCAAAAACATTGACCTGTCCTATTGAAGACATATTGTCATCAAGGATCTTTATTTGATATTTCATAGTTGATCTGTTGTAAGATCTCATTTCTTATCCTTTCTTGTAAAGGTTTTCTTAATGTCACATTTTTCTTGTGATACTTTTATTACTCCCTGCATGTGATACATGTCTATATGTTTGACTGCACATCATGTGCAGCAACAATGTGGAGGAATTTATTACCTCTTGATAATTGTTTTTGATTTTGAATTAACTTGTTCATTTCTTGAACATTACTTTGGATCACTTCATGTGATTATTGATTAATGATCTTTTTTAAGATCAATATGTTTATCCTTTTATTATAAAAGGTTTGTTTGATGTATTCTCACAGTTTCCAGTGGGAATTTTATGTCATATATTTTCAGGCTCCAATTGCCTTTTTCTATTATTAAGAAAGATAAGATGTGTTGTAATGTTTTTTTTTTACTATTAGTTCTAATGTTTTGATACTTTGTGAGAAAATTCACATGGTTCAGTGAGGACTGTGTCCTCAAATATTATTTATGGTTTGTCTTTTATAAAGATGTTTGTTCCTTTACTCTCTTTGAGTACAGTGTGTCTTGTAGAAATCTACAAGTTGTCGTTGTTGTTATGTATCATCACCTCTAGAGGGAGCTGTGTTTTCTGAAATAAACAAACACTAAACTTGAACTTTTTGGTTTGTAAATTTGTCACCTGAAAACGAAACTTTGTACTTTAATTTTCATGATCAATATATCTGATAGAAGTCTCAATCATGGATTTATTAACAAGACCTTTTTAAGCACATATAGCAATGTTTATCCAAAACACAAATATTAAGAACACAAACTAAAATAAGGACGTTCAATTTCTATTTGTGTTAAGGGGGGATAGTGCATCAAATATCACTTAATTTCATGTAGACACTAAAGTCATTTAAAACACAATGGGGGAAAGTACAGTAGAATAAAATACCTTTGCTTCAACAATATTTAGTTTGGCTGTCAGTTGAAGTTTAACTTTAACCATTTCCCTCAGAGGTCTTACATGGTGTCTAATGAGATGCATCATAAGGCACACTTCTATTGTTCCTCCAGTGAAAGCAGTGAAAGGACAGAGTGTGGGAAAGCAGAGGAACCTCACTCACAGAGCCCTGTGGGAGAATAGATCCAGACCTTTGACCTGAAGAGAGACAGATTAAAAGAGAGCTCAGCTTTTAAAACTGGAACTTTCTTTACATTTTTCATCCGATTTCAAGTTTATCTCTTAAAGACGTTCTAATGAGTAAAAACGCATTCATATCTTTTTACATTATTGCCATTTAATCTGGTGAAAGCCATTAGCCATGAGAGTGTTATTTCAGTACCTTATGTGATGTGACCTTTTAAAACATATCTGAAGATATGATGACAAACTACATTTAATATTTAATGCCATGGACATGGGCATTGTTAACAGGGTTCTTAAACCTTGAAGTTGTTCAATGTAATCAACTCATCTGGCTGGTAGAAATATGAATAAGCTTGTGGTATAATATCAGGGATGTTATTGTCTAACTATAAGGGAATCTGTTGTTCAATTGGCAGATTTTCATCAACTTTGTTACTCTTGTTTTGCTAAAATCACTGTGTTGACTGAAGAGTCCCAGATTAGAGAGGAAGGACCAGCCTTGGCAAGTCCAGTCTTTTGAGCAGAAAGAGCTGTGCTGACACATTGTAACTGACCCAAGAGTATGAATTTAATATGTTAATCATTTACTTTTTGTTTTGGTAAGACTGTAAATGAATAACAACACTTTTTAAGTTTGTTTTGTCCCCCTATATCTCTTTTTAATTATGTGGTCACTTGAGCCATTAAAAACTGGAGCTTTAAAAATCTCTGAATGTTAAGTTTTGATCATCGTTATGAATCTTATTTTTGGATCCTGAGGTGATATCCAGCATCAACTTCCCATCATATAAATTATGACCAGGGTGTGGCATGGGGAAAATCTTACAATGCTAAATTAAACACTGTAATTGGACAACAATTAAGAAATGTATAATATAACATTTGAAGTGGCTACACCAACTGCCAAAGACATCAGACTAACAAAGTCAATCCATAGTGGGGCACATGCCTATTTTCCACTAATGGTGGGAGTGTGGGAAAGCTCAAGAGGACAGAGTTAAGTATGAACGACATTTATCCCACCAGCAGCCTCGTAATTCTCAAAAGGGATTTGGCACACTTCATGAAACAGCTGCCTCTCAGGAAACCTCCCACCTTCATCTGTGAACTTAAATTAAGATCCATTTGGTTTTCTGTGAAGCATGTAATGAATGGAGGTAAAAATGTTTAACCTGCAAAGACAATTTAGATATTGCTAAAGAAACATGGATTGTTTTTTTTTATTTTATAGCACAGCTCTCTAAGAAAATGTGAAATTTGTTGGATAATAAAGCCAGCCAATGGCGTGCTTTCCCTCCAGATGGTTGGTGATGTCAGGCTCCGTTTCCATAACAACACACAGCCAGCATCTGCCACACAAGTCCCTTTTGTGGATCAATGACCACACCATACAGGGAGTCAGTGTGGGAAAGCACGTCCGAAGCTTTACTCACACCGACTACAAGGCACGTGTCAAATGACAGCTAGATCTGGACGTCAGCGTGATAATTGCCTCAAATTAATTTAGGCTGCTGTGACTGAATATGAAACTGCTTCTTAAGTTTTAAAGTTTGCAAAGTCTTTTGTTAATAATGAGCAGGATTCAAGCAACATATGTAGGTTAACAAGCACAAAATATTTAACAAAATTATCAATTGAAGATTAAATGTTGAAGTTAAATTTTCCTCAGTCATTACAGGGAATTGACAATTCACTGATTCCTCAAATTTTAACAAGGCATTTCATTTTGATGTTACTCATGCACTGTCTTTTGCAATTAATGTCAGTTCCTCACGTGTATGTTGGGGTGACCATCATGTGCTGAGTCAAAGTCATTGATCCAGCATCAAGCAGCAGACCTGCTCTCTCTACAGGGTCAATAATTTCCCAGATTCTCACAGAGCTCTGTGAGTGTCTCCCCATCACACCCCCCCCCCAGTCCTCCACCTGTTCCCCTGAGACCTAACCATTGTCCCCCAGGCATTAACAGCATTCACCCTGCTGCATCCTCTATTGTCCCAACATGCTCTCTGATTGGCTGAGACTGTGAGAAACTCCAGTCAGACCCAAACCCACACATTCATATGGAGATGTGGGACTATAAATAGGAGGGATGAAGCCAGCAGAGATCAGATTCTCTCTACAGAGACCTCTACAGCACAGACATCCAGACATGGCACCTACAATCACTGCAGCAATGACCAACTCTCAGGAGCATCTGACTCTGACCCACAAGGTAAATTCAAGATCCAAGAAAACTGAACCCTTTCATTTGAAGATGTCTTCTTACACTAACATGCTTCTCAGAATAAGTTGACTAATGATTTTTCTTTTTCTTTCTGCAGCTCAGAAAGCCTCAGGTGGAGAAGTTACGCAGAGAGCGAATCAACAGCAGCATTGAGCAGCTCAAGTCTCTCCTGGGTCCAGAGTTCCTCAAACAAGAGCCAGACTCCAAGCTGGAGAAAGCAGACATCCTGGAGATGACAGTTTGTGTCCTCAGACGACTGCAGCAGCAGAATCACCAGCAGAGAAGACTGCTGAACCACTTCAACAAGCTGCAGCCTTCCTCTGATAAGAACCTGAGAGAGGCTGACTTCTCTCCTCTGAGCTCCACAGTCCAGACCAGCAACACCAAAGAGAAGAGTCCAGTCAACAGCGCCCCCTGGAGGCCTTGGTAGACATCTACAGACTGGAGTTACTACCAGACAAACTGAGACGACCACATTGGTCAAATATTACTGGACTGAAAAAGATTTTATGAAAATGTTTTTCTTCAATTCTTGTCATGCATGTTGCATGATCCAAATCTAATTGCTTCAGCAATTGTTATATATCACTGTACTTTATGTATAGCTGGTATATGATCCGGTTACATTTGTAATCCTTTAATATTATTGATCATACTGATGAAAAACATTGACCTGTCCTATTGAAGACATATTGTCATCAAGGATCTTCATTTGATATTTCATAATTGATCTGTTGTAAGATCTCATTTCTTATCCTTTCTTGTAAAGGTTTTCTTAATGTCACATTTTTCTTGTGATACTTTTATTACTCCCTGCATGTGATACATGTCTATATGTTTGACTGCACATCATGTGCAGCAACAATGTGGAGGAATTTATTACCTCTTGATAATTATTCTTCATTTTTAATTAAATGAAATGACTTTCAATTACTTTTTGTGATTCATCAAAGCAATCTGTTTTAAGATCAATATGTTTATCGTTTAATTATAAAACATGTTGTTCAATGTCAGACTGTCACGGTTGTCCAGTGGCAGTTGTTAATTTTCATATTCTTTGGATGTTTTTTGCATACTTTGAATATTAATACATTTGACTGATATGTTGTAAGGTTAAATGTTGATGTATTTTATTGATTCCCAATGTTTTGTTTTGAAGAAAAAGACATGCTTCAGTGAGGACTGTGTCCTCCAATATTGTGTATTGTTTGTCTTTTATAAAGACGGTTATTCCTTTACTCTCTTTGAGTACAGTGTGTCTTGTAGAGATCTACAAGCTGTTATTGCTGTGATGCATCATCACCTCTAGAGGGAGCTTTGAGACTTCTTGACTTATTGTGCCTTGTTGAATAAACAAAAACTTCAAACTGTAAAACTTTCGAATGTCATTTTGTGTCACACCTTTCTGAAGATGAAACATAAGCTATTCCTTCTTTTTTATATTCAATTAGTTTAAAGATCTGTTATTAATCAGTTAACAAAACAAAATAATTATAAACACATGTTAAAATACCTTTTCCCTGTAGAATCTACCAGTACAAACATCAAAAAGAAAAGTAATCATGTTTGATTACGATATCTCCTGAGGTAGGATACATAAAATAATTAGACCTTATTTAAATGGAGCCCATTGCAACATTAACATTTTGGTATATCTGTCATCTTAAGGTATTTTGGTATAATGTTTACCATGCGTGTCTTTAAATAGGTCTTACATGGTGTCTAAAGAGATGCATAATAAGGCACACTTCTATTGTTCCTCCAGTGAAAGCAGTGAAAGGACAGAGTGTGGGAAAGCAGAGGAACCTCACTCACAGAGCCCTGTGGGACAATAGATCCAGACCTTTGACCTCAAGAGAGACAGATTAAAAGAGAGATCAGCTTTCATATCTGGAACTTGCCTTACAACAAACCTCTGGTTACAAGTATGTTTTAAAAAATAATGTAATTTAATCCAGAGAGAGCACAGTGCTCTTACAGTTAAACTAATACATTTGACCTGCTAGATTTTAGGATAGTGACTACCGCCATAAATGGAAGTGTTTCTCAGTACTACAACCTCATAATACTACAGCTTTGAAAGATAAAAACAAGCTGGTAGGCCACTGCACAAGTTCATAAACTGGCTATTTGAGACGAGAAATACACAGTATTAACATTACATAGTACATTACTGAGTACCTGGGGAAACTAATCAAGCAATAACATACTTGTTAAATTACTGTGATGTGACAATATATGGGTGGAAAATAATGAAAAGTAGAGCTTGAGGTCAATATAAATGTTTCTTACCATTGACACTTGAGAAGACCGTGCAGGGTGGCTGGTTAAATGTCTCAGGATAACGTCCTTCTCTCGAAGAGGTTCGCGTCTATTTGCCGACTTCAGCTTGGGATGCTTAGTTCTTCATGAATGTTCAGTACAAATGAAAGATGTATCCTTTAAAACGTCCCAACGGAAAGGTGTTTTATTTTACTTAAAGAGATGGCTGTTCATCTGCTGTTTATAAACTAACAGGGGATAAGAGGTACATACACCTGCTTTACGTTGTCATTAAAAAAAACAACCTTGGTTTTGGGAGTCTGACAGAGAGAGGCAGATTCAGATAACACCTGAGAAAAGTTAGCTGTTGCATTAAGTACAGGTGTTGGTTCTGCTGCTTCTGATGTCCCCATGTAATCTTGGATACAGTTCTTCCCTATACTGGCTAATGCTCATGTGTTTTTAGCTGTTGCACAAAGTTTTCTTGTCTCTCTTATATTGGTATGACTTGTATATAACTGGGCTTTGAACAGTGGACACTTGCCTGTACACATTGTATGTGCTAAGAAAGGCTTGCGCAACAATATGTAGCTTGACCATCTGCCTGTACTCATTCTTTTTGCCCAAACAGTGGCTAATATGAGGCTGCTGAATAACTTCAACAACCAAAAGAAGCACATCAATCACTTACTCAAAGAAGAAACTCTTTACAGACAGTTTCAAAACAAAACGTCTACTTAGCTAATTTATAACACCTTAAAATGGACAGCGTCAAGATGCCAAAAGGATGTGTGCTTTGAAAAGCATAACATATTCTAGCTAGCTAATGTTGCAACATGGGACTATAATGAAGAACACTTTAGGTTAAAACAAAGCTACTCACCACTCAAATGTGCAATGATGTCAGTGGTAAACCTCAGGAGAAATTCCTTTCACTCAATGCCACTGCCATTATGCTTCCTCCTCAAGGCCAGCTTCAGTGGACCTGCTGGGTGACAGTTTATGAGGGTTGGTTCCTTACATTTGAATGTTTATGTTCATGACTGTAACAGTTTATGAATGTTGTGATGCAACCAAATCTCTGTTCTTATTTTCTGTAGACATACAGGGAGAGGGTTTAGTTAGAATGGATATACTTTATAAATAAATAGAAATTACCTGTGTGGTGTGGCAGGGTCATTATTTTGTGGTTGAAGGAGCTGTGCTGCCTGAGAGCACCTGGGAAACATTACCTGATAGCTGTTGACATGCTCACCATTTGCCATCAGTAGTTATGATTGTCTTTTCCAGTGCCTTCTTACGACTGATGTAGACTTAGGTCCAAAGAAATGTAATGGAAAGATCTCCCTTTTGATCATAATTAGCTATCATATTACTGAAAACTGAAGGGATGTATAAGATGCACTCTTTCACATGGGTCTCAAATTTGGAAGAAAAGATCTAAAACCCCCTTTTTTTGTTTAAGACCAAAATGGCTCATTAATCTTTTTACGGCGCCAAACCCCTGTGTTGTGCTTGTGCACAGGACCCTGAAAACTTCCTTTTGTGGGGGAGCACATGCCTTGTTTCTGCTAATAGATGGAGTGTGGGAAAGCTCATGAGAACAGTAGTTGAATATGAGGGACTCCCATCCCACCAAGTAATCCTCTAAAGGGATTTGGCACACTTCAGGAAGCAGCTGTCCCCAGGGATACCTCCCACCATCAATGTGCAGAGCTGGTTTTCATACTGGTTTACTGTCTGTGATGAAAATATGCATACCTGGAGTTTAAAATTGCAGAACAATGTTTGGATGCTAACAATTTGAAATTACATTTCTTGAGGGGGAAATTATAGGGAGATTTTTGACAAAAATTCCACTAGGAGAGACTATCAGACTCAGCCAATGGCATGCTTTCCCTTCAGATGGTTGATGGTGTCAGGCTGTGTTTCTACATACAGCCATCTGCCACACAAGTCCCTTTGTGGATCAATGACCACACCATACAGGGAGTCAGTGTGGGAAAGTACGCTCAACTTGTTACTCACACCGACTACAAGGCACGTGTCAAATGGCTCTGTTAGGCTACATCTGGACAGCAGCATGATAATTGCCTTCATTTTATTTTTGGCGCCAAAAGGATGGTTCACAACCTTTTTAAAATTTCACAGGACTGTCTGGACAATATTGTTTCGCTGAAAAAACGAGACGAAGAAGCGTTATCAGGGTTAGAAAATGTACTGTTATCCCTTAGAAATTAAGTGATTAAGCCAGCTTAATTAGAATTTAGCCTAAAAAAGCAGCCTGACAAAACTTCTAATCCACTTTGCACTTATTTCTATTGTACATGTATTTCCTATCTTACAACGTTATAATTATCAAAAACTGACCATTGAAAGACAATGAAGAAAAACTGATGGGAATGTCTCAAGATTGACTGCAAGTTGTGTCCAAATAAATGTTTAGATTATCAAATTTTATATCTAATGTAACTTTACAGTCAGTCTCACACGTCTGTCTGTTAAGTTGATGAGCGTGTGCTCAGTCAAAGTCATTGATCCTAGCATCAGGCAGTAGATCTGATCTCTCTACAGGGTCAATACTTTCCCAGATTCTCACAGAGCTCTGTGAGTGTCTCATTCACGCCCCCAGTCCTCCACCTGTTCCCCTGAGACCTAACCATTGTCCCAGAGGCATTAACAGCATTCACTCCACTGCATGTCTTATTGTCCCAACATGCTCTCTGATTGGATGAGACTGTGAGAAACTCCAGTCAGACCTAAACCCACACATTCATATGGAGATGTGGGACTATAAATAGGAGGGATGAAGCCAGCAGAGATCAGATTCTCTCTACAGAGACCTCTACAGCACAGACATCCAGACATGGCACCTACAATCACTGCAGCAATGACCAACTCTCAGGAGCATCTGACTCTGACCCACAAGGTAAATTCAAGATCCAAGAAAACTGAACCCTTTCATTTGAAGATGTATTTTTACACTAACATGCTTCTCAGAATAAGTTGACTAATGATTTTTCTTTTTCTTTCTGCAGCTCAGAAAGCCTCAGGTGGAGAAGTTACGCAGAGAGCGAATCAACAGCAGCATTGAGCAGCTCAAGTCTCTCCTGGGTCCAGAGTTCCTCAAACAAGAGCCAGACTCCAAGCTGGAGAAAGCAGACATCCTGGAGATGACAGTTTGTGTCCTCAGACGACTCCAGCAGCATCAGATTGTGAACTCAGCAGCTGTCAACCAAGGATTCTCCAGCTGTGTCCAAGAGACGACACACTTTCTGTCCAAACAGCAAGTGAACATGAAGTCCCAGAGAAGACTGCTGAACCACTTCAACAAGCTGCAGCCTTCCTCTGATAAGAACCTGAGAGAGGCTGACTTCTCTCCTCTGAGCTCCACAGTCCAGACCAGCAACACCAAAGAGAAGAGTCCAGTCAACAGCGCCCCCTGGAGGCCGTGGTAGACACCTAAAGACTGGAGTTACTACCAGAAAAACTGAGACGACCACATTGGTCAAAGAATACTGGACTGAATTCTATGAGATTTATGATCATTTATTTTCCTAATAAGAAAAGTTTAACTCTTGTCATGCATGTTGCATGATCCAAATCTAATTGCTTCAGCAATTGTTATATATCACTGTACTTTATGTATAGCTGGTATATGATCTGGTTACATTTGTAATCCTTTAATATTATTGATCATACTGATGAAAAACATTGACCTGTCCTATTGAAGACATATTGTCATCAAGGATCTTCATTTGATATTTCATAGCTGATCTGTTATAAGACCTGCTCTTCTTTTTGCTCAGAAGGCAGTATTTAGCTATTTCCCTTTGTTTAATATGACATTTCCAAATGATATGAAGTAACAGTATCTTATCTATTATGAAATACTGCATCTCATCATGCATGTTGCATGAACCACATTTAATTGCATCTGATCTGTTGTAAGATCTAAATGTTTATCCTTTCTTGGAAAGGTTTTCTGTATGCCCCAACTTTCTTGTGAAAGAAAGTTGAAGTAATCATTTACAGTTTTCAAGTGATATCAGCATATCTTTATTTGCCGAGTCAGTTGACTTGAATGATCTGAAGAACAATGTGATCTGTTGTAAGATCCAATATTGATTTCTTTGTACACTAAGTAAGAATGTTTTGATACTTAAAAATTCACATGCTTCAGTGAGGACTGTGTCCTCAAATACTGTGTTTTGTTTGTCTTTTATAAAGACGGTTGTTCCTTCACTCTCTTTGAGTACAGTGTGTCTTGTGGAATACTACAAGTTGTTGTTGTGATGTATCATCACCTCTAGAGGGAGCTTTTATACCTAATGTGGCTCATTTTGCCCGATTCAATAAACAAACTGCAAATGGTAAACTGTTTTGTTTCATGTCATTTGAGTTGAAACCTCATTATCAAGAGGAAAATATTCTACTTTTCTTCCAACATGCTTTTAGTAGAGGCAGTTTGTATCAGCTGACTGACAAAAGAAAGATAATTCTTACAACACAAGGTTGATTGAAGAACAAAAATGATCCATCACAATTTCTATCAAACAAGTTTTTTACAGAAGGTGAATGACAAAAATCAAGACTCATTTCATAGTTCATTAATATCTAAAGTCTCATGGGATAATGTACAGTACAACAAGACCTGCCGCACCAATATAACGGTTCAGTTGTCAATTAAAGTTTAATCCTCACCATGTCCCACTTTAAAGAGGAGAGGCATTATATCTAAAGAGATAAATAAAAGGCACACTTCTATTGTTCCTCCAGTGAAAGGACAGAGTGTGGGAAAGCAGAGGAACCTCACTCACAGAGCCCTGTGGGACAATAGATCCAGACCTTTGACCTGAAGAGAGACAGATTAAGAGAGCTCAGCTTTCAAATCTAAAACTTACTTTTAACCATACACCTGTCTTTAAGTGTTTCTATGATATGAATCAGCTTCAAAATCTTTTATACTCATTACTTTTAGAGAGAGTCAATATCTTTGGCACAGCATATATTAAAGTTTTCACATAGACTTTGTTAATCTGTTAAAACACAAAAAACTAAACATCTCCTACAGTAATACATAACAGATGTTTCTCAGAATTAAACCATGAAACTCAAGCTTTTGAACTGCAGGAAGCTTGATTACAAAGAAACTACACATGTCTGTCAACTTACAGGCAAGAAAACAAAGAATTTAGTGGAGCCCTAGGGCATCAAGGACATCAAGAGAAAAACATTCAAAAGTAATCTTAGGTAACAACGAACACAACTTAATAAAGCACCAAGATACTTTAGAAAAGGCACAGCTGCTAAATGCTAACATTTTTCTACAAATATTTGTTTACTATGTAAAAACAGCTAGTGGTGGATACATATTATGGCAATCTTTATCTCAATGTTAATTCTACTTACCAATTACAATTGATGACAAATGAGTGTCTGGTTAAAATGTCTCTGGTTAACAACCTTTAAGCTATGTTTAAGGATCTCTAAAAGGCATTTTTGTGTACTTTCCAACAGTCTTTATTGGTGAAAATTTCTGATAACACGGTTGCTGTAAACGGCTGAATATAATCTTATATTAAAAACTATCGCTGCTCTTTTGCCGTTTCTAATTTATATACTTCATTCATCCCTGAGGGGTAATTCTGGTTTACGCTCTGTTATTGAGAGACAAACTCCTCACACACATAGACCTGAATTACACACGTGCACAAACAGTCCCAAAGAACATGAATTAACAGAGAGATGTCAGAGAGGCTGCTACAAAGGGAGTGCGCCAGAGCTCTTGGGGGTTTGATACCTTGCTCAAGGGCACCTTGGCAGTACTCAGGAAGTCACTTGGCACCTCGCAACAACCGGACCATCTTCCACACTTTTTGTCCGTACTGGGATTTGAACCCATGTCGCTCCAGTTCCCAACCCAAGTCCCCACAGACTGAGCTATTGCCGCCCAAGGTCCATATACAACATGATTAAAACATTTTACAGAGACAAGTAGAAAGATTGAACATCTCCAAAGTTAGCATTTAAAGGTGAAGAGTTAAGTGCTTCCTTCGTTGCCACTAGCATATGCCTTGGAACTTGGAATATATTCCCTTAATTCTGACACTTTCTCAAGGTTCCATATTTTCTCAGTTGCTAAACTTAGTTTCCCAGCCCCTTTTATATGGGTCTAGCTTTAATGCTCTCCAACCCCAACAAAATAGGCTTCACTAATTATTAATCATAAAGGAATTTGGCATTTAATTGACATGTAATATACAATTCTAATTTAACACTTAATAAACCAAATAATTGAGTTATTTATTTTTAACCGTAATATATTAATTAAAGCACCACATTGGTTCTCACTGAAGATGGGATCAATTCTTAGAAGGGCACATGCCTGTTTTCTCCTTATAAGTGGACTGTGATGAAGCCCTAGAGAGCAGAAAAGGGTGTTATCATCGACCCAACCCGTCAGACTAAAATTATTCTCCAAGGGAATCGGCACACTTCAGGAAATGTGGGCCCATATGTGCTCCCCTATAAACCTCCCACCCTCGTGTGAAAAGGTTATATTCACACAGTTTAACACGTACAAGTCAAAACTCTTACCAATCAATATCAGTGGTAAAGGTTGTATAAGAATGGTTGGACATTGAAATCATGACAAGAAATATATATTTTTTAAACGTATCTGAAATTCCTTGACAAGAATTCAAATTGTGCAAACTGTCTGAGACAGCCAATGGCGTGCTTTCCCTCCAGATGGTTGGTGATGTCAGGCTCTGTTTCTATAACAACACTCAGCCAGCATCTGCCACACAAGTCCCTTTGTGGATCAATGACCACACCATACAGGGAGTCAGTGTGGGAAAGTGTGCTCAATGTGTTACTCACACCGACTACAAGGAACGTGTCAAATGACTCTGTTAGGCTACATCTGGACCTCAGCAGGATGATGGACATTGTTTTTTTTGGCTGCATTGAATGGGAAGCACATAGTTTAAAGTTTTAAAGGATTGCTTGAAATATCTTGAATTTCTGGGAGAGAATTAAAAAATTATCAAGTAAAAAAAGGTCAAACAAAATTCCCATTTCACAAGCAGCTGTGACTGTATAAATATTATGTTTTAGTGCATTAAAGGGACGTGACAAAATAGTTGTTACTATATTTAACGTTCATTTTCCCCAAAAGAAAATCATAAAATTGCACCAAAGTTCAAATGTAACCTTGTATTTTAAACAAAAGTAGGTTAAGATGCGTAAATGACCCTGTTTTTAATTGTCATGGAAAATCTAGAAATGTCTGTACTGCTTCGATATGGTAACATGTATAACTATATTACATACATTTTCTTTTACCAAGGATTCAATTTTTGTCAGTCTCACACGTGTGTGCAGTTTGATGAGCGTGTGCTGAGTCAAAGTCATTGATCCAGCATCAAGCAGCAGACTTGCTCTCTCTACAGGGTCAATAATTTCCCAGATTCTCACAGAGCTCTGTGAGTGTCTCCCCATCACCCCCCCCCAGTCCTCCACCTGTTCCCCTGAGACCTAACCATTGTCCCCCAGGCATTAACAGCATTCACCCTGCTGCATCCTCTATTGTCTCAACATGCTCTCTGATTGGATGAGACTGTGAGAAACTCCAGTCAGACCCAAACCCACACATTCATATGGAGATGTGGGACTATAAATAGGAGGGCTGAAGCCAGCAGAGATCAGATTCTCTCTACAGAGACCTCTACAGCACAGACATCCAGACATGGCACCTACAATCACTGCAGCAATGACCAACTCTCAGGAGCATCTGACTCTGACACACACAAGGTAAATTCAAGATCCAAGAAAACTGAACCCTTTCATTTGAAGATGTCTTCTTACACTAACATGCTTCTCAGAATAAGTTGACTAATGATTTTTCTTTTTCTTTCTGCAGCTCAGAAAGCCTCAGGTGGAGAAGTTACGCAGAGAGCGAATCAACAGCAGCATTGAGCAGCTCAAGTCTCTCCTGGGTCCAGAGTTCCTCAAACAAGAGCCAGACTCCAAGCTGGAGAAAGCAGACATCCTGGAGATGACAGTTTGTGTCCTCAGACGACTGCAGCAGCATCAGCTTATGAACTCAGCAGCTGTCAACCAAGGATTCTCCAGCTGTGTCCAAGAGACGACACACTTTCTGTCCAAACAGCAAGTGAACATGAAGTCCCAGAGAAGACTGCTGAACCACTTCAACAAGCTGCAGCCTTCCTCTGATAAGAACCTGAGAGAGGCTGACTTCTCTCCTCTGAGCTCCACAGTCCAGACCAGCAACACCAAAGAGAAGAGTCCAGTCAACAGCGCCCCCTGGAGGCCGTGGTAGACACCTAAAGACTGGAGTTACTACCAGAAAAACTGAGACGACCACATTGGTCAAAGAATACTGGACTGAAATCTATGAGATTTATGATCATTTATTTTCCTAATAAGAAAAGTTTAACTCTTGTCATGCATGTTGCATGATACAAATCTAATTGCTTCAAGCAATTGTTATATATCACTGTACTTTATGTATAGCTGGTATATGATCTGGTTACATTTGTAATCCTTTAATATTATTGATCATACTGATGAAAAACATTGACCTGTCCTATTGAAGACATATTGTCATCAAGGATCTTCATTTGATATTTCATAGCTGATCTGTTATAAGACCTGCTCTTCTTTTTGCTCAGAAGGCAGTATTTAGCTATTTCCCTTTGTTTAATATGACATTTCCAAATGATATGAAGTAACAGTATCTTATCTATTATGAAATACTGCATCTCATCATGCATGTTGCATGAACCACATTTAATTGCATCTGATCTGTTGTAAGATCTAAATGTTTATCCTTTCTTGGAAAGGTTTTCTGTATGCCCCAATTTTCTTGTGAAAGAAAGTTGAAGTAATCATTTACAGTTTTCAAGTGATATCAGCATATCTTTATTTGCCGAGTCAGTTGACTTGAATGATCTGAAGAACAATGTGATCTGTTGTAAGATCCAATATTGATTTCTTTGTACACTAAGTAAGAATGTTTTGATACTTAAAAATTCACATGCTTCAGTGAGGACTGTGTCCTCAAATACTGTGTTTTGTTTGTCTTTTATAAAGACGGTTGTTCCTTCACTCTCTTTGAGTACAGTGTGTCTTGTGGAATACTACAAGTTGTTGTTGTGATGTATCATCACCTCTAGAGGGAGCTTTTATACCTAATGTGGCTCATTTTGCCCGATTCAATAAACAAACTGCAAATGGTAAACTGTTTTGTTTCATGTCATTTGAGTTGAAACCTCATTATCAAGAGGAAAATATTCTACTTTTCTTCCAACATGCTTTTAGTAGAGGCAGTTTGTATCAGCTGACTGACAAAAGAAAGATAATTCTTACAACACAAGGTTGATTGAAGAACAAAAATGATCCATCACAATTTCTATCAAACAAGTTTTTTACAGAAGGTGAATGACAAAAATCAAGACTCATTTCATAGTTCATTAATATCTAAAGTCTCATGGGATAATGTACAGTACAACAAGACCTGCCGCACCAATATAACGGTTCTGTTGTCAATTAAAGTTTAATCCTCACCATGTCCCACTTTAAAGAGGAGAGGCATTATATCTAAAGAGATAAATAAAAGGCACACTTCTATTGTTCCTCCAGTGAAAGGACAGAGTGTGGGAAAGCAGAGGAACCTCACTCATAGAGCCCACCCTCGTGTGAAAAGGTTATATTCACACAGTTTAACACGTACAAGTCAATACTCTTACCAATCAATATCAGTGGTAAAGGTTGTATAAGAATGGTTGGACATTGAAATCATGACAAGAAATATATATTTTTTTAAAGTATCTGAAATTCCTTGACAAGAATTCAAATTGTGCAAACTGTCTGAGACAGCCAATGGCGTGCTTTCCCTCCAGATGGTTGGTGATGTCAGGCTCTGTTTCTATAACAACACTCAGCCAGCATCTGCCACACAAGTCCCTTTGTGGATCAATGACCACACCATACAGGGAGTCAGTGTGGGAAAGTGTGCTCAATGTGTTACTCACACCGACTACAAGGAACGTGTCAAATGACTCTGTTAGGCTACATCTGGACCTCAGCAGGATGATGGCCATTGTTTTTTTTGGCTGCATTGAATGGGAAGCACATAGTTTAAAGTTTTAAAGGATTGCTTGAAATATCTTGAATTTCTGGGAGAGAATTAAAAAATTATCAAGTAAAAAAAGGTCAAACAAAATTCCCATTTCACAAGCAGCTGTGACTGTATAAATATTATGTTTTAGTGCATTAAAGGGACGTGACAAAATAGTTGTTACTATATTTAACGTTCATTTTCCCCAAAAGAAAATCATAAAATTGCACCAAAGTTCAAATGTAACCTTGTATTTTAAACAAAAGTAGGTTAAGATGCGTAAATGACCCTGTTTTTAATTGTCATGGAAAATCTAGAAATGTCTGTACTGCTTCGATATGGTAACATGTATAACTATATTACATACATTTTCTTTTACCAAGGATTCAATTTTTGTCAGTCTCACACGTGTGTGCAGTTTGATGAGCGTGTGCTGAGTCAAAGTTATTGATCCAGCATCAAGCAGCAGATCTGCTCTCTCTACAGGGTCAATAATTTCCCAGATTCTCACAGAGCTCTGTGAGTGTCTCCCCATCACCCCCCCCCCCCCCCCAGTCCTCCACCTGTTCCCCTGAGACCTAACCATTGTCCCCCAGGCATTAACAGCATTCACCCTGCTGCATCCTCTATTGTCTCAACATGCTCTCTGATTGGCTGAGACTGTGAGAAACTCCAGTCAGACCTAAACCCACACATTCATATGGAGATGTGGGACTATAAATAGGAGGGATGAAGCCAGCAGAGATCAGATTCTCTCTACAGAGACCTCTACAGCACAGACATCCAGACATGGCACCTACAATCACTGCAGCAATGACCAACTCTCAGGAGCATCTGACTCTGACCCACAAGGTAAATTCAAGATCCAAGAAAACTGAACCCTTTCATTTGAAGATGTCTTCTTACACTAACATGCTTCTCAGAATAAGTTGACTAATGATTTTGTTTTTTCTTTCTGCAGCTCAGAAAGCCTCAGGTGGAGAAGTTACGCAGAGAGCGAATCAACAGCAGCATTGAGCAGCTCAAGTCTCTCCTGGGTCCAGAGTTCCTCAAACAAGAGCCAGACTCCAAGCTGGAGAAAGCAGACATCCTGGAGATGACAGTTTGTGTCCTCAGACGACTCCAGCAGCATCAGATTGTGAACTCAGCAGCTGTCAACAAGGGATTCTCCAGCTGTGTCCAAGAGACGACACACTTTCTGTCCAAACAGCAAGTGAACATGAAGTCCCAGAGAAGACTGCTGAACCACTTCAACAAGCTGCAGCCTTCCTCTGATAAGAACCTGAGAGAGGCTGACTTCTCTCCTCTGAGCTCCACAGTCCAGACCAGCAACACCAAAGAGAAGAGTCCAGTCAACAGCGCCCCCTGGAGGCCTTGGTAGACATCTACAGACTGGAGTTACTACCAGACAAACTGAGACGACCACATTGGTCAAATATTACTGGACTGAAAAAGATTTTATGAAAATGTTTTTCTTCAATTCTTGTCATGCATGTTGCATGATCCAAATCTAATTGCTTCAGCAATTGTTATATATCACTGTACTTTATGTATAGCTGGTATATGATCCGGTTACATTTGTAATCCTTTTATATTATTGATCATACTGATGAAAAACATTGACCTGTCCTATTGAAGACATATTGTCATCAAGGATCTTTATTTGATATTTCATAGTTGATCTGTTGTAAGATCTCATTTCTTATCCTTTCTTGTAAAGGTTTTCTTAATGTCACATTTTTCTTGTGATACTTTTATTACTCCCTGCATGTGATACATGTCTATATGTTTGACTGCACATCATGTGCAGCAACAATGTGGAGGAATTTATTACCTCTTGATAATTGTTTTTGATTTTGAATTAACTTGTTCATTTCTTGAACATTACTTTGGATCACTTCATGTGATTATTGATTAATGATCTTTTTTAAGATCAATATGTTTATCCTTTTATTATAAAAGGTTTGTTTGATGTATTCTCACAGCTTCTAGTGGGAGTTTTATTTCAGACATTCCCAGACTTCAATTTCATTTTTCTATTATTAAGAAAAATAAGATGTGTTTTAATGTTTTTTATCACCTTAAGTTCTAATGTTATGATACTTTGTGAGAAAATTCACATGGTTCAGTGAGGACTGTGTCCTCAAATATTGTGTATGGTTTGTCTTTTATAAAGATGTTTGTTCCTTTACTCTCTTTGAGTACAGTGTGTCTTGTAGAAATCTACAAGTTGTCGTTGTTGTGATGTATCATCACCTCTAGAGGGAGTATCAAGATTTTTATGTGGCTCCTTATGTCTTCTTAAATAAACAAACAAACAAACTGTAATTTTTTGGTGTAAAGTCATTTTGTGTTTTCTCTGAGATGAAAGACAAACCTTCAACTTTCCATTTGATATTCAATTAATTGATTTAAGTGTGATTTATGAATTGATTGAGAAAATTAAGATTTTTATAAGCACATACACTTATTGATTTTTCCTAACATACCTCATTAGAACCAAACGGTAACCTGTAGTGTTGAAAAATGAAGCCATCGCAAAATTGCAAAATCCTGCAGTTCGTCAAGTGTCCACTTGAGGATAATGCAGGAACACTGGAAGTCACATACACAGCAAGAAAATGCAGTTTTTACAGCATAAATGAACATGTTTATACAGCCTGGTACAAAAAAGGAAATAGCTCAGATTTGTTATTGTCATCACTGACACACACTGTAGGGGGATGATTTTTTTTCTAAACAGCTCCGTTTTTATTTTGAAAACGTAGCTGACATGATTGACAGGTTCGTCAAGAGGTTTAAAACCCGCCTCAACTCCAGCTCTCAGCCTGTCGTTAGGTTGACTGAAAGTTAGGCTGAGACAGGATTTCCAACATGGCGGCTACTGCTGATGAGCCTCCAGAGCCCCCTGCAGGAACAGACGTCTGACGTCATAGGCTTCGTCCATTAAAATTTACAGTCTATGATATGCATTCAAACCATGGATTGAATGCATATTTTCTGTTCTGCATTTTAATGTTATGTAAATAATGTTTCAACTAAAGATATATAACAAGCTTTTTACTTTGTTTTATCAATTCGGTTTAGTCCTCAAAACAAATGGGGGAAAAAATATAACAAATATATTGACGTCACCAATATTTTGGCGAAGCTGTCAGCTTAAGTTTGATGTTAACAATCTTCCTCTTTTAAGAGGAGAGACTAATGAGATGCATAATAAGGCACACTTCTATTGTTCCTCCAGTGAAAGCAGTAAAAGGATAGAGTGTGGGAAAGCAGAGGAACCTCACTCACAGAGCCCTGTGGGACAATAGATGCAGACCTTTGACCTGAACAGAGACAGATTAAAAGGGAGATCAGCTTTCATATTTAGAACTTGCTTCAGATTGTTCATTTTGTTCCCATGATTCAAATCACCTCAAACATCTTTTTAGAGTGCTGTCTTTTCTACTGAAAGCAAATTTTCAGCACATATACTTGAACTTGAACCTGAACTTCTCTTTCAGGTAGATTATGTTAAAGGAGCAATATGCAAGACATACTGAATTTAATGATAAAGTGACCTTACTATATGATCAGACATTAAGAAAACATGCTATGCTGACAACAATGCAGCAGCCAGTTTGTCCTCCTTCTAAGTTTAGATTCTGGTCCTGAATGGTTTGTTTTTGTTTGGACCAGAGAAGTAAGCTGTTTAAAGAAACCCCCACATGGCCGTTTTGGACACCCCTTGGTTTGCCAGGCAAATGGAAAACCAACAGGTGTTGCAGCGATGGAAGCAGGCAAGAGAACTGGTTCAGATAAAACTGATTCTACCCGACCTCTAAAGACTCTGAATGTTTCTAACAAGCTCCACAGCCAGAAATGTGGTTAAACTAGGTTAATGTGCAATACGTGAATTTAAAAAAAATATCTTAACAGAAATCCTTTTGCCCGCCATGTTGATGATGAATATGACGTCAGGTCAGCAAGCCAGGCACAAAATTCTTTCACGGAATTTATGAGTTCTTGTTCCGACAAAGCAAAAATTCACTGGCATTTTCCAACTTGGAAACATATTTTTCCAACACTTTTTCATAGGCACACATCCCTGACTGACTAAAAATGGCTCTGTGACCCACTTTTGGGTCCAGACCCACCAGTTAGGAACCAAGGATCTAGACTTCAGACCTGTTAGTTGGAGTGGGAAAAAGAACTGACACTAAACTAACACTAGACTGTTGAATTACTGAAGTATCAACGAAAAGCACCGACCTCAGAAATTTGATCAGAGAAGTAACTCTTTATAATTTAAACATATTAGGCTCCTGTCTAATTAGCTACATTCATTATTCAACAACAAGGAGAGCAACAGTTTGACAGAGGACACTTGTGCGCCATTGTAAAAAAAACAAAAAAACAAAAAAACAAGGTAATATAGCTTGATTATGTTACTCAGAAGTAGGCATGCAATATAGCTAACTATTTGGTAAAAATTATAATAAGAAAGATTTAACTTACAGCTACTCACCATAGGAACTCAGAGGGATAACGAGCAAAAATAAATGGTCTCAAAAGGTTTTTCGTCGTCATGGCTACTGTAAAAGGGATGGGCGGTTAGTGACGGTTGGTTCATCCTTGTTCGGTGAAGACGCAAACAAACCTCTTTGCTGCTTATATTAATGATAATGTGCAGGCAAACATTATTAGATATAGGTCTACTTACTTTACTTTGAATCCTTGAAACACCTTGGGCGTACTTACATGGAGCAGCAGGTCGAAGTTTTTTTCCAGGTTGGGTTTCCAGACAGACCGACCTTGACGGATGTTAGCGGGCAGCCATTAACTTTCTATGTTTTCCATTTGGTGTCGCCGTTTCTTCATTTTTTATGTTTATTAGTATCCACAAGTGTTGCCCTTGTAGGCTACATAAAATGTGCAAAACAAGTCATAAGACTGTGGAAAACTGTCTTCTAAATTAATTATTGTCCATAATTAGCTATTTCATTTCCGGTGTTTTGGGAGATTTTGCACTTCGATTATGACCCGAGTGGACGAAACCAGGTAACAAAAGTTCCGCCCTAATATTTACACTTTTAACTCAGAACAGTAAATACAGGAATTTTTAAACTCCTTTCTACGATTTAAATATTCCAAAATTTGCATTCCAGATTTTTCCATACGCCATTTATATCTGATATTGAGATACGAAAACATAGGATAAGCTCAAATTAGATAAGATAAGATAATATTTTATTGATCCCTGAAGGGGAAATTCAAGTGTTCCTGCAATAAAAAGACAATAAAATAGCGTGTAATTGAGTACCAATAAAAAAAAAAAAATCACTAAAAATCAATAAATTGTAGGCCTATTTACAATTTCTACTAAATAGGTTATAAAATAACTACACCCTTCACGCCCATTAATGGCAAAACAAAAACACTATACAGTACTTTCTCACATGTTGCGCAATAAGTGGCTAGTTAGAGTTACGGGTTATGAGATAAAGTGACACAGTAGCCTGTGATTACTAGCAGCAGAGTAAAGCAAATAGCAGTGTGCATAAGAAGTTAGTTAAACATAAATACTTGCATAATATACAAGCGCCACTAAAATTGCTCTGTAAAGTGTGTCACTCTGTCCCTAAACACTGCACGTGTATTGGATCCTAATCAATGTGTAAAGCTGAAGAGCAGACTTGAGCTCAAGAGACTCCCATCCCACCAGCACCCGAGTAATCCTCTTGAGGGAATTGGCACACTTCAGGAAACAGATGCCCCCTCTAAAAACCTCCTGTCCTAATGTGTGCAGAGCTGTTTTTTTAAAATCAAGATGATTTTTTTGTAATTTAACATATTAATTAATTACGGCGGAATTACTAATAATGATTGAAAAACTTGAAATCTGAAATGGAAATCATTTTTTAAAGAGTTTATAGTGAAATTCCTTGACAAGAATTCAAATTTAGCAAACTGTCAGAGACAGCCAATGGCGTGCTTTCCCTCCAGATGGTTGGTGATGTCAGGCTCTGTTTCTATAACAACACTCAGCCAGCATCTGCCACACAAGTCCCTTTGTGGATCAATGACCACACCATACAGGGAGTCAGTGTGGGAAAGTGTGCTGGACTTGTTACTCACAGACTTTAAGGCACGTGTCAAATGACTCTGCTAGGCTACATCTGGACCTCAGCATGATAATTGCCTTTGGTTTTTGGGGGGGTTTGTGCATGCCTCTAAGACATTTTTAAAGTCTGATATAAATCTAAAAAAATCTTGTCATTCTGAAGAAGAATTATTCAATAATGTTGATAATTAAACTAATAGGATCTAAATTACTGTTTAAAATAAAGATGTAACCTGCTTGAATTATGTTTTGGCTCAAATAAACAGCTTAACAACAAGAACAAGTATTCATCAAAGTTTTATATTTTCCTCTTGTAATGCATAAATTCCATTGGTTATACTATTTATCATAGTGACATTCGGGTATATTTACAAGATTGCTTTACTTAATATTGTTGGTATAGATACAATCATATAAAATCAGCAACCACAACTGTTCAGTCATTATTTATTTAAATAACATCAAATTTATATATTACTTTCAACCCCAGGTTCCACACCTGTGCAGGTTGATGAGCGTGTGCTCAGTCAAAGTAATTGATCCCAGCATCAGGCAGTAGATCTGATCTCTTCAGGGTCAATACTTTCCCATGCGAGTGTTTCTCCCAAGTCCCCCCACCTGTTCCCCTGAGATCTAATCATTGTCCCCCAGGCCATGAGAGCATTCAGCGTGTTGCCGCCCTACATGCCTTATTGTCTCAACAAGCTCTCTGATTGGCTGAGACTGTGAGAAACTCCAGTCAGACCCAAACCCACACATTCATATGGAGGTGTGGGACTATAAATAGGAGGGATGAAGCCAGCAGAGATCAGATTCTCTCTACAGAGACCTCTACAGCACAGACATCCAGACATGGCACCTACAATCACTGCAGCAATGACCAACTCTCAGGAGCATCTGACTCTGACCCACAAGGTAAATTCAAGATCCAAGAAAACTGAACCCTTTCATTTGAAGATGTATTTTTACACTAACATGCTTCTCAGAATAAGTTGACTAATGATTTTTGTTTTTCTTTCTGCAGCTCAGAAAGCCTCAGGTGGAGAAGTTACGCAGAGAGCGAATCAACAGCAGCATTGAGCAGCTCAAGTCTCTCCTGAGTCCAGAGTTCCTCAAACAAGAGCCAGACTCCAAGCTGGAGAAAGCAGACATCCTGGAGATGACAGTTTGTGTCCTCAGACAACTGCAGCAGCAGAATCACCAGCAGAGAAGACTGCTGAACCACTTCAACAAGCTGCAGCCTTCCTCTGATAAGAACCTGAGAGTCCAGACCAGCATCAGCAAAGAGGAGAGTCCAGCCAACAGCGCTCCCTGGAGGCCGTGGTAGACACCAAGACTGAAGTTTCTACCAGACAAACTGAGACGACCACATTGGTCAAAGAACACTGGACTGAAATCTTATGAACTTATTCTTCTGTGTGTACAGAAGGCCTTTTGTTTTCATGCTTAGTGATGAATTTCCTCAGGGAATTACTGTAACATTGTCTTTCAAGTTTAAAAGAGACTCCCTTCTCATGCATGTTGCATGATTTAAATCTGATTGCATCTGCAATCATTGTCATAGCTCAGTGTTCTTGCTGACATTGAATAATGAACCTTAATCTCTGTGATTAGACAAAAGTGATCTTTTGTAAGATCAGAATGTTTAACCTTCTTAACATCACAGTTTCATGTGATTCTTTAAGAATTCACCACATCATGTTTTTAATGATGGTGATTCTTTTTAGTGGTAACGATCATGTTGGTCAGAAGTTATATTTGTCCTTTATTAGGTCAGCTTGTAACGTCATTCCTTACCTTTATGTGAGGTTTTATAAATGATCTGTCCTAGGATCAATGTAGGCTTTTATTCCTAAAAGGTGTCTTAATATCCCTCTGTCACTTAGTGGCTGTCATATGTCTTATATGAGTATTCAGGTATTCAGCAGTTTTGAACCTGCTGTGATCAGAACAATCAGATCTGTTTAAAGATCAGATTTTAATGTCTTGCTTTTTTTAATTTAAAGCGAATCCTGTTTATTTTTTGAAAATGATGATTTACCCGTCTGTGAATCCTTCTCATTATTGTCTCGTCTTTTATAAAGACTTTTCCTTTGTGATGTAGACGTGATCTTCCGGATGTTGTTGCGATGTTTGATCATCTACTCACAGATTCTCGTGGCTCTTTGAATAAACAAAGATTGCCTATATCAAATCTTTCTCTCGTGTCATTTTCTTGTTCTCCCTTTTAATAATCTGTGCAGACAGACACTTGGTCACTCCAGAGAAAACAACTGCATGTCACTCTGTTACATGTTAACTAAAACAGACAGTCCTAACAATGTTTATTGAGTTACTTAAACAAGATACACTCTCAAGTAAGATATACTTAGCTTAATAAAGTCATTGTCATTCCCATTACCTATCACAATGACTATAAGCTAATTTTGTCAATTAAAGTCAGCCAACCAGAATCAATCCAATGCTAATTAAGTTTGATCCATGTATTGCATTTTTCAACATCAAGCACAGAGAGTGAGAGGTCGACACAAGAGTCAACAACACCAAGACTGACTTCAGTTTCTAACAAACATTTACTAACACAGACTCACTTGAGTTTTAAACACAATCTAACTACTTTAATAAAGCACACAGATTCATATCTGCTTTAAGAAATCATTCAATCCAACAGAAGACTCCGGCGGCAGTAGCTCAGTCCGTAGGGACTTGGTGGGAACTGGAGGGTCGTTGGTTCAAGACCATAATATGGAAGTTGTTCTGGTAGCTGGAGAGGTGCCAGGGCACCTCCCGAGCACTGCCGAGGTGCCCTAGAGCAAGGCACTGAACCCCAAACAGTCTGGTGCGCTCGCTGTGTAGCAGCCTCACTCTGACATCTCTCCACTAAAGCATGTCCACAGGTCCTGTTTGTGCATGTGTGTAAATCAGGCGTGTGTGTGTCAGAAGCATGCCTATGCATGTGCATGTGTAAACCAGAATTTCCCTTTAGGGATGAATAAAGTAAAAGTGTTTGGAGGTAAGCCCTCAGTAGCTGAATACCTCAGCTGCACATGGGATTTATTTTTATTTGCTCTTTTCTTTGTCAATAACATATAATGAGAAGTAAAATACCTGCAAAGATTTGAGCTGTTTCAGTGTATCTTTTATTCATAATTTGGTCTTTGGCTTTACATCTCGCACAACAAGGCAACTTCAGTGTTCTTACATAATACTCTAAAGAAATGGTTCTCAACTGGTTTAGTCTCAGGACCCACCACAAACTCTTTTTTGCAACCCAAATTTCTGCAATCAATCAGATTGATTTAATCTCAGAAGGTACAAAACAAACATGTTTAAAAAGCGATTCTTAGACTTTTTGACACCTTCACGACCCACTGAAAACGGCTCCATGCCCCACTTTTCAGTCCCGGCCCACCAGTTGAGAAGACATGCTCTACGCACTTGATGATCAGTTTGTTTGTTGTGTGTATGTGGTTAGAGTGCAAGTGTGTGTGCGTGTGTTTGTTTTGTGTTACGCTCTAAAGGCTGGTTTCAGGATCCTTACATAAAAGAAAAACGGACAAAGGTCATGACTTTTATGTTCAGCATCATAATCATAATAATCCTCCAGAATCATAGTCAGTTTTTGTGATGTGATAACTGATAATGCATGTTTTCTCTTGATTTAATCCTTTAATATTCACTTTAAAAGAGGAGATAATGTTTTGTTTCCGTGTCTGTGATAAAAATCTTTCTGTTTTTGTTCATTATTCTCTTTCAGCCCACTGAGAGAAGCTAATGCCAGCTAACGTGCATTCAGGTTAAGGTGGTTTTAGCTCCTGTCCATCTGTCTGTGGGTCTATCTGCAGGCTGTGGAGGGGCTCAGGTTCCCCCTCCTCCCCTGCCCCTCCTCCTTCTCGGCGCTCACAGCTCAGCACAGGGCTGGACGTGCCCCGGTCACACGCCCTCCTCTCTGTGTGTGGAGCTGGGAGCCGCAGAGGCACACGGCTTCCCACACTTCTGTATGCAGGCCGCTCAGCTGCGTGCACAATAGAAGTGTGTCTGCTCGCACAAAGCCTCCGGACTGTTCTCAGGCTGCAGGACGCCGCACAGACAGGCCATCTGGTTCAGCTGCTGAGACACACAGGCAGAAAATATCAAAACTTTAACCAACTTTGTCAGTGTTTGGGTCATAAGTATCGAGCAAAAGTTGAATATAAGTTTCATTATTTTCTTATTCATGGAGTATAACTCTCTAAATGTTTATTCTTTATTTAAAGTTTTGTTTAAAAAAATTAAAGATTTGCACAGCAACATCTAAACATCTAGTGGCAATATTTCCTTCAAAATAATGGTCCAGGTCTTTTTTTTTTATATGAACAGGACTTATTTGTACATGTCTTTAAAATATGAATTCGTATTTTTTGATGCCATCGAGACTTAGTTTCATTTTTTCTTTCCTTAAAGATGTGTAGCCTGAAGAGTGATAAGATGACACATTGATCTGAAATAAACAGAAACACCAGGTTAAATTTAGCAAATATAATGAAAATTACAACAATAAAAACAATAAGATGTGAGAAATCAGTGAGTTAAATTGATCAGTTAGACAAGACAAATACAGAAAGTAAAAAAAAAAAAAAGTCAAGGATAAAGCAGGATGTTTAACACTTACCTAAACAAGACAGAACTTTTCTTTCTTCTCAGTTTTAATCAGATTTTGTATTATTTGATGATGTCATCAAGACTTTGTGATGTTTAACTCATCTCAAGTTGATTCATCTAAAACATTACATACAAATAGACAAAAAAAAACTACACAGCAAGAGACACAACTTCACAAAGTTAATAAAGGCAAAATGTCAAAATAGTTCATTTAATTAAAATAACAATTTTGATTTGTAAACATAGGGCGCTCTCATAAACCTTTTTTATTTTGTTCACAGGAGAAGCATTAAAAAGAAAAAGAAAACCTCAGTGATCTGTCTAAAACTCTGCAGCAATGTCTTTGGTTTTACTTGAAAAAGTTGAACATTGATATAAGGTTTTATTTGGATCTCACACTCTTTAATATCAAATGTGATTAAAGAGTCAAATTTTGGTGGGAAAATGTTCCCGTGTCCACCTCAGGAAGAGCGTTTTCCCACTGACCTCAGGGATGTATGGCACACAGATAAAGCATCCCACCTGTTCTCTGTGACAGGCATTAAATTCTCCCCATTGTCCCGGGATCTGAGCCTCCTGATTGGCTGAAGAGCTGGGAGAGAGCGCCCGATGAGGAGCATAAAAGCAGGTCAGAGAAGCAGAAGTCAGCACACACGTCCTCTGAACCTCCACAGGCAGCCAGCTGAACCTCAAAGCAGAAAACTCCAAACTCCAAACTGGAAATGTCTCTGTACGCAGACCTCGCTCTTCAGGACAGCGTGAAGGAGCAGCTCTTCAGGTGAGGATCAAACCACATTATGAACATGTCTCCTTTGTCAATATCTGATGCTCCTCTTTTTTCTGAATTGAAGAACATGTTGCTAAGAGTCCTGCCCTTTTTTGTTTGTTTTCAGGTGTAAACTCAGCATGCTGGAGAAGAAATGCAGCACAGCTCTGGAGAAGCTGAAGGCTCTGATCGGAGAACACCTGCAGAACGGGATCCAGGTGACAGACCTCCTGGAGAAAACAAAGTCCCTGTGCACCCTGAGGAAAGCTCTGCTGACACACAACGGATACTCCAAATACTCCAGGGACATTTTACGTCTGTTTCCCGATGCAGAGGAAGACCTGGCTCCACTCTGCTGTTGAGGGTGAAGAAAAATGGACTTCCCTAAACTGCATTGAAACAGTGCAGTTTGGAACTACAGATTTTGGTGTCACCAGCTGCTGACGCTGGTTTGTCTGCAGAAAATCTGATCATTGCTAAAAGATGCTTTTTCTGCATCGAGAGAGATCTACAGATCGGCCTCAAACTGAGCGCAAAGAAGAGATTATGAAGATATCACTGACTAGAAAGAGAAGTCTCCCTTTTTAAAACATTTTCTGCTGCTATACTTGTGAGATGTTTTTTTAAATTTTTGTTTGAATGAGACCACAACAGACAAACGTGGTCCGTTCACTTTGCAGGAATTGGATCCTTACGTTAAAATATTTAGGACCAAAATGTTGTAAACTTTTATGGCTTAAGTGCAGAAAGAACTCTGCTTAAAAATGTTCAGCCAAACAGAGATTGAAGATGATGAAGCTGTATTTGCTATGAGTACAGTTTGCATGTTTACTGCCTTGTTTCAAGGTCTAATTTATCAAACCCTTAAAAACAAACCTTTCTTCTGAAAAGGGATTTTTGTATCGTTCCGTGTATGCCATGTATGCATATTTTGATTTATTCATCATGTTTTGATTTTTATTCATCCAAAGTGGATTGAAATTTGTTTTTTGGAGTTTTTTTGGATTTCAAGGAAAATAAATATTTGAGATATTACAAGTGTTGTCATGTGGTCTTACTCGGAGCAAGTTTGAAGCTCTAAAAAAAAAAAAAGATGGAGATTTCACTTTCATTCTGTTCAGAAAATTTAACTTAAGGGAGCTTATGTTTATCGTAGTTCAACAATGAAAACAACATCATGTTATGCTCCTCAGTGGTGATTTTAGAGTCTGGTGGGGTCCTGGGCAAAAATCATTTGGGGGGGGCTTTCCAACCAGCGTTCATCACCATCATGTCTGCCAGTGTCCCAACGCTCACTCACACAGCAATAATGCAACACTTAACAGGGCAATGAGGGTGAGTGCTGTCAGATGGGGCCCCCTTAGGGAGGTTTCCTACTGTCACTGCAAAATTAGCACATTTGGGTTCCACTGCTTTGGTTTAAGTTTGTGAGTCCTATGGGGCCCCTTACTGGTCTAGGGTAGTTGCCTGCCATGCCTGTTGACAAGCAGCATCTCTGATGCTCCTTTACAGTCGCTTTCTTAACAGCTATCACTAAATGTTTCCAAGCAGGGAACAAATCAAAGGAAGAAAATGAATGTAATGGAAAACATTTAACAAATTCATTAAAGGGTCTATATGTAACTTTCAAAAATATTGTGTTTGTAGTGAGACCGCATGGCTGTTAGGCGAACTGCACCAGTAACATGTTGCTCGATCTCCCTCGCATGCTCGTCATACATGCTCGTATGTACACAAACCAGCATCTTCATCGCTGGATATTTACCCTCATAATGTTTACAGAGGAGGTAAGTGAGCATACACATGTGAAAGTCTGTGAAGGAGTCTGTGTTGTTCTTGAGGCCGGTCGTTTATTTGTACTAACAGATTCCATATTAGATTAATTCTCCATCCTACAAACGACAGTCTCGGCAGGCACCGGCTGAGAGTGTGTGATGAGTTTGTACTGTTGATCTCGGTAAGCAGAGTGGAGTGAGGAGGACGTTGAGAACGCGTATATAACATCACTTCCTGGAGCTTTCGCAGAAAATATGACCCGGGGAAACGTTTTATACAGGCAACACAGATAGACAGTGAACATCTACTTTTTCACATCAGTTAACCGTTTGCTTATTAATGGGCAATAAAAAACGATTTATACATGTAAAAGGTTACATATAGCCCCTTTAATATAGCCTTTACTTTCTCTGGATCTCTGACAGGGTTAAGAAGAAGACACGTAACAATTAAAAACAGGACTCATTACAGTACTGTTTTGAACCGATTATCATGATGAAGAACAAAAAATATTAAAATATAATTTTCAATTGTTACAATGAGTTCTTCAGCCTAGCGTACCCCCTTCTCAGACCTCTGCCTACTTTTTTTAAAATCATTTTTAAGATTATTCAGAGGGGGGACCTGAGTCTCAAAGCTTTGCATCAACAAGAGAGACTGACATGTCAACTTTCCACACATACCATCTAATAATCAAATGAAGCAGCATCTTTGACAATAACAGAGTTCATCCCAACAGTTTCTTATCGATAAAGACATGAGGAGTCCATTTTGAAGGGCCATTAAAAGCAGAAGACTAAATTACTGCACATTATGTTTGTCTTTTGTGACACCTCATTCAGCATTGATTCTAGACAGGATGAGAAATAACCTGTTAGCTCACAGCTGACAGGTTGAACCTGCAGCTTACTCCGTCCTATTCTCCTTCATACACTTCAAGCATCTTTTAGAGTTGTAGAGAAGATGTGTGGAAAAAGGCTGAAACCCTTTTATAACACTGAACAAATGAGGAGTGGTACATTTTTACGAAATGCAACATCCAGAAACATACTGTTTGAAGGTTAAAGGTGCACTATGGAGTTTTGGTAGAGAAATGTGAAATTTGGCGACATGTACAGATTCTGTGGTATATGTTCATAACTCTACACATAAACTGTCCTCAGAGGACAATTTAGTCCCTGTAAAACTGTTCGAAGATAAAATGCTACAGGACAAATTATGGTGGAGGTCCACACAGTGAACCTGTAACTATCCTGGTAGATTTTCAGTGTTTCAGAGACCCATTTTTTCCTTTGAATAAAGTTTGTGTATAAAATATTGCATAGAATTGTTTCAGTTTCCCAACTTTCAAATTTCACTACCAAACCTCCATAGTGCTCCTTTAAAGTCTGCAGCTTTATGATGACCTCAAAGGTGATTAAAAAAAAGACAAGAGAAGTCAGCTTTAAATGTTGTTTTTTGTGATTGTTTAATTTCGCGTCACTTGGCTTGAAGAGATACATTCACGACGACACGTTTTCCAAACAGAAGCCTTCACAGAAGGAGCAGTGCTCTCACTCACAGAGTGATGAAGCAGCACGTTTGTCTTTATGAATATTATCACACTCTGAATACCTCTGCTTAAAATACAGAGATGTCTAAAGACATGTCAGAGGTTCAGTTCAATAAACACAGCATGTGAACATCACATATAAATCTTAAACATGTTTAACATGACCAACCGAGTCTCCGAAATGGAGACAAAGTACTAACATCACTGTCAGCATCACCGACATTTAGACTCTTTTTCCCATTGGGAAGAAAAGTTATTACTTCACAGAGTAACATCTAATACAGAATAAATCACAACTTCTGAAATAAAAAAAAGAAAGAATTCTTTTGTCTCCAAATATCACAAAAAAAAAACACAGAATCAGCCTTCACGAAAGGCACAAAGAGTGAAAAGTTGCATAACATATGCAAAAACTCTTCAATACAACACAACAAGTTCAAAAGTCCAACATATTCATTCAAATTGTGTCTACCACGGCCTCCAGGGGGCGCTGTTGACTGGACTCTTCTCTTTGGTGTTGCTGGTCTGGACTGTGGAGCTCAGAGGAGAGAAGTCAGCCTCTCTCAGGTTCTTATCAGAGGAAGGCTGCAGCTTGTTGAAGTGGTTCAGCAGTCTTCTCTGGGACTTCATGTTCACTTGCTGTTTGGACAGAAAGTGTGTCGTCTCTTGGACACAGCTGGAGAATCCTTGGTTGACAGCTGCTGAGTTCATAAGCTGATGCTGCTGGAGTCGTCTGAGGACACAAACTGTCATCTCCAGGATGTCTGCTTTCTCCAGCTTGGAGTCTGGCTCTTGTTTGAGGAACTCTGGACCCAGGAGAGACTTGAGCTGCTCAATGCTGCTGTTGATTCGCTCTCTGCGTAACTTCTCCACCTGAGGCTTTCTGAGCTGCAGAAAGAAAAAGAAAAATCATTAGTCAACTTATTCTGAGAAGCATGTTAGTGTAAAAATACATCTTCAAATGAAAGGGTTCAGTTTTCTTGGATCTTGAATTTACCTTGTGGGTCAGAGTCAGATGCTCCTGAGAGTTGGTCATTGCTGCAGTGATTGTAGGTGCCATGTCTGGATGTCTGTGCTGTAGAGAGAATCTGATCTCTGCTGGCTTCAGCCCTCCTATTTATAGTCCCACATCTCCATATGAATGTGTGGGTTTGGGTCTGGGAGAAGTTTCTCACAGTCTCGGCCAATCAGAGATCTCGTTGGGACAATAGAGGATGCAGCAGGGTGAATGCTGTTAATGCCTGGGGGACAATGGTTAGGTCTCAAGGGAACAGGTGGGGGATCGGGGTGGGGGGGGTGATGAGGAGACACTCACAGAGCTCTGTGTGAATCTGGGAAAGTGTTGACCCTGTAGAGAGAGCAGATCTGCTGCTGGGATCAATGACTTTGACTGAGCACACGCTCATCAACCTGCACACACTTTGGGAAATAAACATCAAAATTAATTACATGATCATTTTGTGAAAACCAAATATGCATTAATTTCTGCTTTATATAATGCTCTCTCTAGATGAGGTGGTTTCTAGTTTTAAAGCCTCAACATCAGAAAATAATATGACCACATTTCCAGCGTTGGATTGATACCAACTCCGTCTAGCTCAAGTCTTTCTTTGCTTTACTCACTTTATGGATATTTGTGTGATTGTCCATGAAATGTGCTCACAAATCGTCCATGCAGACAAATCGTAGGAATAAATGTGCATATACTTCATCCGTCTTTTTCTATATATTCATCTTTATTTTGACTTTTGCTTCTGAAATTGTTCCATACTTTTACTTTTCATACTTTCATTGTTACTCCTGTTTTTCTCATACATCTATCATTATGTATTACGCATATTTGGAATAAAGATATCAATAAATGAATGAATGAATGAGTACGGCTACATGTGTGAATGCCGTCTATAGACGTTTTCTCATGTTTTTTTGCATGCAAAAGATTAAAATAATGATTTTCATGTGGTAAAAATGGTTTTAAACTTTCAACATATCATGTAAGGCATTGAACATTTTCTCTAATTTATTGGATAAATGTAATACATCAGGAGGATTTCATATTTTGACCCAAAATAATTCACTTAGTTTTATATAAACCATTCCAGGCATGTTCATACGGGGCCATTTTGTGATGTTGTAAATATATAAAACAAAAAATATATATATATATAGGCTATATCTATGTTTGTGTGAAGGCACCAAACAGAGAGACATCTCTGATTCTGATAAACATGTTATGCAGTGTCTCAGATTTTGCAGTGAGCTGATTTTTAACAGTTCTTGCAAAGTTAGACTCCTCTGTCTACGATGCATCATAAAGTATATAAATGAAGATGAAGATGAAGATTTTCCTTTGATTGCAGCTTCTATAACAAAGCTTTCACTTCAAAGCTAAGTCTTCTTCACCATCAGCATCTCCTCGTCAATTCAGGAGTGGTCTCCTTTTTATCCTCCCTGTCATAATAAACAGCGAGGAATGCAGAGGCTCTGAATATAAAGGAGGGGGTGACAATAAAGAAAAGAGAGCCTCTGAATGTTCATTAATCCTAAACATGTCTGCATTCCTCATAGACGTTTAAAAAAATAAAAGATCCTGGTGATGACGAGCCTTGATGATAGGAATGTCCATTCACAGGCAGCGAGAGAGCGAGCTAGTAAACTGACTCCATAATTAATGTGATGTCTGTCTGGCAGACACACTTCTTTTGTTTCCTGCGGGCCGTGAATGGAGAGAGTGTGGGAAAGCAGAGAAAACTCACTCACACTCACTCAGACAGACACAGACAGAGAGAGAGAGAGAGAGAGAGAGAGAGTGAGAGTGAGTGAGTGAGAGAGAGACAGAGACAGAGACAGAGAGACAGACACACAGAGAGAGAGGATGGAGACAAAAGACGTCTGACAGAGAGGAATTCTTCACTGCTTTTCTCACTGACTCTAACAATAGCCTTCCTATATTTAGATCTTTTTATTTTGGGTTTATATATTTATATAACATCAAGAATCAGCCCTGTATGAACCTGCCTGCAATGTTTTATATGAAACTCAGTCAATTATTTTAGGTCGAAATATAAAATAGAGGAAATTAAATTCCTCCTTTTTTGGTCAATAAGAGAGTCTGGTAAATAAAGAAACTACTAATGACAAGAATGTTTAATGTAGAAGAAGAATTGTTGCTGCTTAATCTGCATTCACAAAGAGTACTTCAATCTGATCACACCTGCATTACAGTAGTTTTAAGCCGTCTATGTAAGATAATTATACAGATTATTAATGTATGTTTTCACTATAATAAGACTGAATTATCTTGATTTAAAGGATCAGAGTGATTACAACTCTACTGATACTGGCAAAATAATAGTTGTTGTTTATTTTGTTCAGCATTGATCGTTTCTCCCCACTAAAAAACACACATTAATAATCGATTGAATTCATATAGGAGGCTCTACACAAAGGAGGGACAGGACAAAGAACAAAACATTCAAATAAACTGAGACAGGAAGCAAAGGATGGCAGAAGTTATATGACAAATACAGATAAATATATTGAGAGATTAAACCAACTGAGAAGGTGCAGCATGAAGCTTCATCTTTTTCTGGAACACTTTCTGTTAGGGCCACGAGTGTTAAAACAAAAATAAAACAGAATGAAATATCAGAAGCTTAAAAATAAAATAAAAATTCCAATCATGACGTGCAAAACATAAAAAGATCAAAACAAGTAGACACCACCATCAGTCCCAATCTTTAAAAAAAAAGTACAAACTGTCTTAAATCAAATTTATATTTGATCACCGCTTTATTTTGAAACATTTTTAAAGATTTTTTAAACTTTATCAAACTATTCCACAGGTTCACCCTGGTTTGGAAGATACACATTCCTGCTTTAAGTTCGTCCTCGTGCTTACTGTAGGGGAGAGAAGTGAAGTGTTCCAGTTTAAAGCTCGATGTAAATATGACATTTGCGCCTTAATACGTTCAATAAAGTGTCTGTTAATGACTCAAAACATTTGTGTTTATTTCTCCGTCCCTCTCCTCCTAATTGAAGACTGTCTGAACAACAAAGTGCCCCCCCTCTCCGGGGCAGTGCCGGGAGCTGCTCCGTTGGGATGAATTAGCATTTAACAAGGCACATGTCTATTGTTGAGTGAATGGACGGAGTGTGGGAAAGCAGCGAGCGGCAGAGTCACAGTTCAGGCTGATTAACATCCTCAGAGCCTGCAGCACCTGAGGGATCTCTGAGGGGGAGCTGGCACACTTCACGCAAACTTCTTATTCTCCTCTATCTCCTTTCACTGTCGGCCTCGGCCTCTGTCTGATGTGGTCCCTGAGTCTGTAGCTCCCGCCAACTTCATTTTCCCGCTCTCTTCCCAGATCATTCTTTTAGTCTGAGTCTTTTTTATGTATTCTTTAGATTGGATGCCAGACTGTCTCAGGAAAGTTGCCCTTACAACAAATCTTTTTGTTTGTGCTTCATGTTTTGGCACACACACCTTTGTCTTCATTCAGTGAACAAGAGCCCAACATATTCCATTTCATAGGCCTACATCATTTTTTAATAAAACAGCACACACTGAAAACAGTCAGACACACAGAAAGTGAGACACACACACACACACACACACACACACATCACTGATCACACAACTAGTGTGTCATCTCAGTATTTCATCAGTATGTGCATCCATCCGCTGTATAATATCCATAAAATAAATAAGTCAGCACAGCTTCCCTTTCCCCCCCATAGGTCTATAAATCCTCCATCACTTGTTGCCACGGAAACCATCTGTCAGTCAGTGAATTGTGCATTAGTCTTATTTTCGAAGTTATTTTCTCCATTATGTAAATTACTTTGACAACTAATTCCCTTTTTTTTTTGGAGGGGGGGGATGAGGAGTCGAGATATGTTTGAATTCTATACATTCTCAAATTCCTGAACCAAACTTCAAACATAAACCCCGCCTCTTCTTTAGGTCCTTAAAGTTGACCCTCTCTGACCACATCCAGATGGTCAGCCCCCCCGTCCGACTGCGTCACAGCATTCATGGTGACCAGTGAGGCGTTCGTGCTGCCTTTGTTGTATCGATCACAGCTCAGAGGACGCAGGGTGGGAAACCCTGACCAGCACTTTACTCACTGGGACGACTTGTCACCACACACAAAACACATCTGGTTCTTTTTTTTTTTAACACATCATTCACCTTTTTAAAGCCAATATTCAGTTTTTTGGGCTCGTTATAACAACCAGTATTTGTTTTTTTGTCAATCAGCAAAACATCCGTTAAGATAAAAAGAATCCTCTTCACCTTTTGAATCCCTTTTAAAATGCTCTGATTAATCATTTTCATGAGCAGCTCAGTTTTCTTTATTATCATCAAATGTCCTTGTTTGACAGCCAGACCTGCAGGACACATCTGCAACATCTGGAGCCTTTCATCTAATAGATTATTATGACTGTCTACCAAAACCTAATTACGCTCGTGCATTTATAACAATTATGATTAGTTGCATGATTATGTTTCCCAAAAGACTTGAGATACCTGATCATGATGCAAGCCTTTAGAAAACACTGTTGAAGATAATCTCCCTGTCAGTCTCCAAAGTGTGTGCAGGTTGATGAGCGTGTGCTCAGTCAAAGTCATTGATCCTGGCATCATCTCTCTCTACAGGGTCAACACTTCCCAGAGCTCTGTGAGCGTGTCCCCCCGAGTCCTCCACCTGTTCCCCTGAGATCTAATCATTGTCCCTCAGGCATTGACAGCATTCAGCATGTTGCCGCTCCACATGCCTTATTGTCTCAACGAGCTCTCTGATTGGCTGAGACTGTGGGAAACTCCAGTCAGACCCAAACCCACACATTCATATGGAGATGTGGGACTATAAATAGGAGGGATGAAGCCAGCAGAGATCAGATTCTCTCTACAGAGACCTCTACAGCACAGACATCCAGACATGGCACCTACAATCACTGCAGCAATGACCAACTCTCAGGAGCATCTGACTCTGACCCACAAGGTAAATTCAAGATCCAAGAAAACTGAACCCTTTCATTTGAAGATGTCTTCTTACACTAACATGCTTCTCAGAATAAGTTGACTAATGATTTTTGTTTTTCTTTCTGCAGCTCAGAAAGCCTCAGGTGGAGAAGTTACGCAGAGAGCGAATCAACAGCAGCATTGAGCAGCTCAAGTCTCTCCTGGGTCCAGAGTTCCTCAAACAAGAGCCAGACTCCAAGCTGGAGAAAGCAGACATCCTGGAGATGACAGTTTGTGTCCTCAGACGACTGCAGCAGCATCAGCTTGTGAACTCAGCAGCTGTCAACAAGGGATTCTCCAGCTGTGTCCAAGAGACGACACACTTTCTGTCCAGACAGCAAGTGAACATGAAGTCCCAGAGAAGACTGCTGAACCACTTCAACAAGCTGCAGCCTTCCTCTGATAAGAACCTGAGAGAGGCTGACTTCTCTCCTCTGAGCTCCACAGTCCAGACCAGCAACACCAAAGAGAAGAGTCCAGTCAACAGCGCCCCCTGGAGGCCGTGGTAGACACCTACAGACTGGAGTTACTACCAGACAAACTGAGAAGACCACATTGGTCAAAGAATACTGGACTGAATTCTATGTACTTGTTCTTCTGTTTGTTCAGAAGGCTGTTCTGTTCTGTTTTTAATTTCTAGAGGAAATGACGGAAGCTGTTTTCTTTCAATTTAAGAAAGAGAAAATATTGTCATGCATGTTGTATGATCCAAATCTGATTGCATCTGTGATCTTTATTACAGACTTTTCTGTCTGAAAAATATTAATTGTCGTAAAATAGCACAACATTGTATTTTGTGAATACCTGATATCGTCTCATTGATTTATATAATCAAAGTATTTGGCCAATACTGGCCAGTTTTATGACACCTGTTTTTCAGTCTGTTCTAAGATTGATTCAGCAACAGGTTTCGGGAAAGCACAGCTACTTTTTGGTAGCAGTTTCTTTTTTTTTACTTTGTAAAAGACATCAGACCCATGTTGGGTTCTTCACATTCTTTAATCAACATGTTTTGTTGTGTCAACAATTGTTTATCTGAATGTTATTTTCTCTCAGTTTTAGAGAGTCTGTTCACTTTGTTTAGGTTGTTCTAAACAATATCCTGTGTTTTATAAAGAAACTAAACTCGTTCACTCGGCTCTATTTGAGCAAATTGTCTTGGAATACAAGGTTGTACTTGTGATGTATCATCACCGTTAGTGCCTCTATGTTTGGCACACTGAATCATGTGAATAAAAAAACATCAACTGCATCTTCAGCTGTGTCCTATTGTTCTTTAAGAAGAGAGAAAGTAGATGTGAAATGTCACAGCCCGGCTCTTAGACTGTTTCAAAGATGGGAGACACTTGAGTATACTACTTAACGAAGCAATTTATTAATCAGGAAAATAATTAAAACTTGCAAAAACTTGTAGATTTGAACAATCTTTAAAGTCAGTGTGTAAGGTGTGGGAGCGTGGAAATACTGTATGGGTGTTGTGTTGTGTCCAAAGGCAAAGAAGTGAGGTCATAAAAGTCTCACTGAAGGTCTCCACAAAAATGACTGCTGCTCTGGTTTTAAGCATGGGGCACACCAGGCCCAGATGTGTGTCATCTCCTGCTCAGAACAGAAACAGAGACAGAAAGAAAACAGCAGTAAATGAATCACAGCAGACGGGCCGTCACAGAAACAACTGTGTCTGAATTCAGTGACAATACAGGGATAAATCATGAACAGCACCTGTTGTGATTGTCTTAGTCATCTGTCTATAAGCTCCTAAATCCTTTTAAAAGAAACACATTTATTTTGTGGCTGAGCGCTGCCCTCTACTGGTTATACTGTGCAAGAGCAGTAGAACACCCCAAAACTCACAGGACTCCTGTATCAATGAAAGAAAAAATATTTGAATTAATGCATATTTTCTTTTCTTTATTATGTCCTGGGATGTCATTAAGACAACGTCACAACATGAACCATCCCCCAAATAATAACAATCCAAGAGGTAAGATACAACCAATACTAACACAGTTAGTATTGGTTGTATCTTATCCCCCCAAACAGTTTACATATAATCTAGTTCATAAACCAACACATCACTTCATAAAGAGGAATCAATAAGTAATTAGTTATTTTTCTTGTCCTTCCCCGTCCTTTAAAGAGATATTCAGACAAAGCAAAAACCATTATTAAAGCGATGTACCATTAGAACTGTATCACTTTTTATAGTGGTGATTTGTCCATCAAAAATCTAAATAAAACTTGTATCAAAAATGATCTAAAGGCCACTGATACACCGTGGGATGTGGTCTACGCAGGCAAATGAAATCCATTGTCCATGCACAAGATCTTTGTTTCTGATGGTTTATTTCTTCAGAGCAAGCAAGCAAAAGAACAAAGTAAACCATGGCTCCTGCTGCCTCTCTTGCGCTGGTAAAAAAAAAAAAAAAAAAAAAAACATAGGCCCACCCAGGTGCATGCTGGTCCTCTACCTGCCTCTCACCTATATAACCTCAGGTGCCCACAGTGTTACCCAAATACCTAAGCAAAATACTGATGCAAAACTAATTTTACTATTTAAATCACTAGCAAAAGAAAACATGATCAAAAATCTATTTTATTTAAAGAATGATTGTTGGCATAATTAAATAAACAACACCAACTAATATGACTAAACTGAACACCAAACAAAATTCTAACATCCCCGTCGGTGCTTTGGTGTGTCATTGCTGGGTGAATATTTTAATTTTTGTGGCTGCTCAATTCCATCAAACTATGGAAATATTTCACTGATTGCTTGTATTATTTATTCAAATTTCCCCTTGAATTCAGTCTGACAACGCTGGACATTTATCTTGTGAAGGGCCGACTGCTTGGGTTGCACACAGCAGGATTGGGAAAAAATAAACAGTACCTTTATTTAACATGGCAAAACATGTTTTAAAATACAACCAACTCAGGTATTTATCAGGAACACAGTGAGCTGTGGCTGAGAGGTTATTATGTTTAAACAAAGTGTGGCTTCTCAACACAAGTTTGCTTTGATAATCCACCTACAAGTTATTGCTTGTTAAAGGGAGGGCCTATTGGACAAGAAAAACTAGTTAATGTTTAAAAATTAACAATTGAATCAGTTTGAATAAAAATATTTTAACTGAAAGGAAATGGCGTGCTTACAGTGGTTTTTACACCTACTTCAAGTTCTGCTGAAGAGGTAAATGCCGTACTTTGTGTACAATCATTAACTGCCTTAATGACTGACTTTTGGTTAGAAAAGTAAAAAAAAAAAAAAAGAAATCCTAATCTTAGAGTGAAGATCGACAGAGAGAATAAGAAAAGAAGAATGAGTCGGTTCTGTGCAGCTTTCTGTGGGTAAATGTTTACAGAGTGACGCCCCGCCCCTCGCCCCCCGCCTCGGACCGTACGTGAATTGTGATTGGTCGAAGTGGACGCGCACGCACTCTACGCACGCCACGCACGCAGCGTCAAATCATTGTCGACCATGGCGGAATGTGTTCGACTTGACAGCAGCACAAGTACTCACACCATGGATAAAAGCATTACTCTGCCGCCCGACGAGATATTCCGCAATCTGGAGAATGCAAAGCGGTTTGCAATTGACATAGGTACGTGTTGGTTTAAAAGTTTAATTCATTTTTTTCAGCCAAAGGTTCTCCTCTCCGTGTTTGTGGAGCGGCTCCGCCGCAGTCTGGTACTATGACAACAACACATGACTTTAGGAGAAAGTAAACAAGGCAAAGCCCCCGTCAGCTGCTTAAAGACGTATATAATCCGAAGTTCTTTGGCAGCAAATGGTGTTTACCTTAAAGGTGAAAGTCTAACGAGTTTCAAGAGGATAGATCAAGAGCCAGAAGGTTTTAAGGTTTCTGCTCTTGAGCATTTCACAGTTTACTACACGTTTTTTTTTTGTACGTCGGGATTCTGACCTAGTTTTTACTCCTACTGCCTATGTTATCTTTAGGGCTTCTTATCGGGCTTTATCAATACTGCCTTTCTTTTACAGGTGGATCCCTCACGAAGCTGGCCTACTACTCCACTGTGCAACACAAAGTGGCCAAAGTGCGATCTTTCGACCACTCTGCAAAGGTAATTTCTCCACTTTGGTTACTCTAAAAACCTAGGTTTCCCAAGAATCAGTTCCAGCTGTTATCTGTAGCTAACTCTGCATGTCAAAATACAGCCAACAACGCATAACCTCTAACATAGTTAAATAAGATAGAGTTTTACTGATACCACACAGGAGGCGTGTCCAGAGGTTATTTCAATTAGTGTAAATGTTCCTCGTCTGTGTTCCTGTCCCATCAGGAGGCTTCCAGTGACAAGCTGTACGAAATATCAGTGCAGGAGGAAGTCACCGCACGCCTTCACTTTATCAAATTTGAAAATGCCTACATCGAAACATGTTTGGACTTCATCAGAGACCATCTGGTCAACACTGAAACCAAAGTCATCAAAGCCACGGGCGGAGGAGCCCACAAGTTTAAAGAACTCATCGAGCGGAAACTCGGACTCAAGTAAGTGAACGAGCGGAAAGTGTAGCAAACGACTAAAGCTGTTTTTGACATCATGCACTCGACTTCCACATCCAGCTTACCCCCCCCCCGCAAATGTCGGGAGCTTTTCAGTCCAAGTGTGAGCAAGGCTTCAGTCGTTGCCTGTGCTGTGTCACTTAGTGTGTTGATCTGAAGCTGCATGTAAAAACAAACACAGGAAGGGCTTATTCATCGTGTCTGATTAATTCACAAAGCAGCATCCTGCCCTTTTCCTGTGAACCAGGTTCAATCAGAGGACAAGTGTTTATGCAAATCTATGCAGAATATTGTGGAGCTTAAGTTAGCTTGCAAACTGTGAACAACATTCACATTATAGTTGGCTTGTTATATCTTACCTTCTGCATCGACACACATATGTTTGGCCCTTTCTAGCTATCAGGAAGCCAATATTTAAACAGGACTGCTGCTGCGTTCACTGCGGCTATATTTGCACACTGACATGTGCACTATAGGATTTTTTATTTATTTTATAGTTTGTGTCTGTTTTGAGTTGTAATGTTTTTCTGTAGTATGAGGTCAAGAGAAAACGACATTTCAATCCTTTATATATCTTGTGCATACGGCAGAATAAACAAAAACATGTGCCCTTCATATGAAGATGTATGGCTTCAGACAGCAACTCTGTCTACAAAAAAAGATGATCAATCAGTAAAAGGAAGATTATATGTTATATATGACTTCCCAAATGGAGGAAAGGTCAGTTTGTGTTTTGCTTTGGCTAAGAATGACTCAAGCTGACGGACGTCTTTTTGGCTACGTGCTTCATTTCTGCAGAGTGGACAAAGAGGACGAGATGACCTGCCTCATAAAGGGCTGCAACTTTGTGCTGAGGAACATTCCCCATGAGGCATTTGTGTACGCGAAGCACGCCGACTCAGAGTTCCGCTTTCAGACGACTCAGCCGGACATCTTCCCCTACCTGCTCGTAAACATCGGCTCTGGTGTGTCCATCGTCAAGGTAACCGATCATCTCTCAAGGGAGGCCGGGCCCACTTATCACACAATTTGATGTCAAGCTAACAAGATGAAGTGGTTCAGAAAATTCAGTTCTGATTAGTTACAGTCATCACTGACACACACTGTACTTTTGGGTACTTTGGTGACTTCACTCAGGCTTTATCCGTTCATATTTACAGACCTGCTGCAGTAATAGCAGTCTTAGTTATAGTAGTTTACTTTTTTCAATGCACCAAAAGAGGTAGTTCAGCCCATTAGGACTCAGAAGACACAGAAAAAACAAAAAAGACAAGAGACACATAACGAGAGAACAAGAACAAATACACCACGGTACTAGTCAAACAATGACAAAGTATTAACACACCTCAGACTTTAGAACTTCAGTATTTGTTAAACGTCCTTCTGTGCTGCTGGAAGGTATTTAACACAAACCAACATGCGGACACACTTTAGTTTATCTCTGCAGACTGATGTTGTCCTCGGTATGTCGCTGTGTGATGGCATGTTTATGTCTGATTCTATAGTGCAGGGTGTGTTGTTTTCCTTCTTTCAGAGGACTTCTGTTTATTTGAATAAGCTCTGCTTATATGTGACTCACAGAATAGACCGTGTCCCCCTCTGTTCCTCTGCATCAGGTTGAATCAGAGGACAAGTTTGAGCGAATAGGAGGAAGCTCGATAGGTGGAGGGACGTTTTGGGGCCTTGGAGCTTTACTCACCAAAACAAAGGTGGGCTGCAAAAACAAGTTTTTTTTATTTGTTATCAGATGAAAGTATCCGTTTCAGATTGAAGATGTCTGCGAGGTGTGATATTTTGGAAACACCAGCCTCCTTAACTTTTACCTTCCTCTCTCTTGTAGAGATTTGACGAGTTGCTGCAGTTGGCCTCCAAAGGGCAGCACACCAGTGTGGACATGCTGGTGAAAGATATCTACGGAGGATCGTACGGGTCTCTGGGCTTGACTGGAGATCTGATCGCGAGCAGTTTTGGAAAGTCAGCGACTGCTAACAAAGGTGACAATGAACACAATGATTTAATGTGGCTCCTCGTAATACATTATGGTATATATGTGTGCGTGTGTGTTTAAGAAAAGTTAGGGAGATCAATGACCGTGATGATCCCCTTACACTTTTCCCCAATGTAGGCAAAACTACTTTTAATTAAATCGTCATGATGTCACTATTTAATGTAATTATAACCGCTGTGCATCCCGGCTGATTTATCCCCTGCACAGCTGCAAACTTAACATCACAGGAGGAAGTTTAAAGAACATGTCTCTGTTGTGTTTGTGAAGTGTTCATGACAGGAATGTGGCTTTAAATGAGCCGGTTTTAGCCTGAAAAGAAGTCCTTGTTGAAGAGAACTGATGACCTCTGCCCCAGTTCTGATGCAGCCTAGTTCATGATCATGTAACTGTTATGAAATGTGGGGACTGCAGAACAGAACAGATATCTCCGGCTTGTTACCAACCATCTGTAGCTGGGTCAATGACGTGACGCTCATTTTTTTGTGTCCATAAGGTTTAGTTAACTTTTAAAGGCTTAAAATTTAAAAATAAATGCACAAATGACATGCTTTCATCCTTTGTTTTGAGGACCTAGTCTAAAATTTATATTTATTATCCATTTTTAGAGAATAACTGGGGTATTTAGGCAAAAATGTCTAAGTGGTGTAACCGCTGAAACTTTGTATCAAAGAATTAAACTTCCTTTAAAAAGGTTAAATTTTCATATAACACCGTATGAACTAGCCTGGCATAATCTTACAATAGAACTGTTCAATATTAAATAAAAGTAATGGAACATCATTGTTCTTATTATTATAATTATTTTAGGGAAATCGTGTCACCCAGTCAAGTTCCAAATTGTCAACATGGTGTAACCACCATTGAAGGAGCCATTTTGTTAATATATTCATCATATCATGTGACAAGAGATGATATCACAAAGAAGAACCCCTGATGGTCCTAACTGCTGCAGGCCAAGTTTAGCAACTCTCTTTAAAACATGAGATAATTTGACATTTTAAGGGCGTGGTCAGATATGTCAAATGGTTTGACCTCAGAAAAACATTAACAATTTATGATAATTATAAAAATTTGTATTCACTTCGAAAATTTGATTTGAAATGTTCACACCAGGAAATGTGCTTACATAGGTCTCCATGATAATGCCTGTCAAATTTGATTTGAAGTGGAAATGTCAAATGGTGTAACCAGTTACACTATTTGACTTTTATGACAAGCCTTTCTCTTAGAGGCCACTTTTGTCAAATATCAGTATTTTTTTTATGTTGATTAAAGTGGTTATCCAGCCACAACCTTTTTATCAAGGGTCTAGGACAAAATACCCTGGCATTTTGTAAATGTTTAGCTTCAAATTGCATATTTGTGTTCCATTTACTTACATTTATAAAGGTGCACTATGTAGTTTTGGTAGAGAAATGTGAAAGTTGGAGAAATTTACAGATTATGTGGTATATGTCCATCATAACTCTAAACACAAACTGTCCTCAGATGAAAATGTGGTCCCTGTAATATTGTTTGAAGATAAAATGCTACTGGAGAAGTTAAGGTGGGGGGCCCGCAACAGTGAAAGCGTAACTCTCCTGGTAACTTTATATCTCCAAACAGAGTTCCAGGGATCCATTTTTTACTTTGAATAAAGTTTGTGTATTCAGTTCAGAAAATATATCAAAGAATTGTTTCACTTCTCCAACTTAAAAAATTTCACTACCAAATCTACATAGTGCACCTTTAAACATATATAATCTAATATATGTATGTATGCTGTAATATTGGCACCAGTAGTTGCATTTTAGATGTGTCGGCTATTGTGGTAGGGTAGGTAGTATCAGCATGTCACTACCTGGAGCTTGCTTGCCAAAGTCTGGTACTATAGAAGGTGGCAATGCTGTTTGGGCTGTGATGGCCATGATGTAAAGAAGCAGAGATGTAAAAGTGTTGCCTGTAGGTATGTTATCCTTTGATTAGGGCACAAGTACCTTGAGTTTATTCCAAATACTGAAGAAATGAATTCTCCCTGAAGATTTTGGTCAGATGTTGTAATTTACTTAAGATATGAATTAATTAAGGATGCACCGATCCTGACTAAGACAGCTAGATCAGGTATCGGTAAGAATTTGCCGATCTATGAGACCCATCCAAAAGGCCGATCTATTCACTTCAGTTTTATACTATTCTGTGTTTAAGACAAATGTGCTACATTACTGTCATCAGCGTACTGGTATTCTGTGCACTGTGGTAGATGGAGCAAACATGAAATGGAGGAAGCTAACAACAATTTCTTCAAGAAACAATGGCCTTTGACTGTAGAAGCAGCATGGTCAGTTGGTGTAACTGGTTTGCGTCAATTGTTGTAACCAGTATTTCTTATAAAAAATATAATAAAACACAGGACAATTAAAGTGGAATAAAAGTAGTCCTCTATTGCAGTGAAATAACATGTTTTTTTAACAATTTTTACATAATTTGCCAAAAATTAATTAGAAAACAGAAGTGTTTACAGCTTTGTGCCCCGCTCAGTATTGAAAAAGGGCATAACTTATAAATTTAGGGATAATCCTAATAAAATCTATTTTCTTGTGCTATTTTAAAATGAAGTAATTAAAATCATGAGTACGCTTGCATATACTCTAGATGTATAAAAGAATCAATATTCTTAATTTTTCAGTGGTTACACCACTTGACATTTTTTGGTCCATTTAGTCTTACCTTTTGAAAAAAAAGGTTTAAATGTCATTTTAAAAAACACAAAACCAACATGACTACAAATCTCACATTTTAATGAACCTGATGCATGCTTTCAAATTGTGTTTTTAAAAGATTTTTGAATTGGTCATCTGAACAACCCTTATTTGTCACTGACCCAGCTACAGAGCAACTACTGAGCAGTTTACACATGATAGTAATTGAACTATTTTCCTTCTTTAATGGGCTAAATATTCACAGTGAGTGAATAAAGAACCACTGAAGAGTATCTGATCTTTTACTCTTAATGGGAAATAAAAAAAAAATAAAAAAAACTTTTTAAGCATTTCTTCAGCTCTTTGAGGTGTTTTTTCCCCTCTTTTTTATATATTTATATTTGTATTCATAGAGTTCTCTCAAGAAGACATGGCGAAGAGTTTACTCCACATGATCAGTAACGACATCGGACAGCTGGCCTGTCTGTATGCCAAGCTGCACAACCTGTCCAGGGTTTACTTTGGAGGCTTCTTCATCAGAGGACATCCTGTCACCATGCACACCATCACGTACAGCATCAACTTCTTCACAAAGGCAAGAGCTCTTCCTCTGCATGAAGAGCTCCCCCCCAATCTGTCCTCTTAAAGCATGACTTCTATATTAAATTACACGCTGAACACGAGTGTCTTGGAGCTCCTAATAAGTTCCCTTTAGTCCTGGACTTGGTCTGTTGTCAACTGGACTAAGAGATGAACCTCTAACCCAGATTCTTATGATCTAACCTCCTCCTCCTTCTCCTCTTTTGTTGCTGTAGGGGGAAGTTCAGGCCTTGTTCTTGAGACATGAAGGTTATCTGGGAGCCATTGGAGCTTTTCTTAAAGGAGCAGAGGAGGACAGTAAGGAAAAAAACAAATGCACATTATTGTCCTAACCTGATCCTGAACCCTATTGGGTGTCAAAAGGATAACTGTTACAGTTTCTGTGATGTAAACACTTTGTTTTTACTGGACTTAAAAGAGATTCAACGTCTTCAATAATCCAGGAAAGTACTTGATATGTTCATGTTGTTCTCTTCTAGATCCAAACCAGTACAGCTGGGGGGAGAACTATGCAGGAAGCTCCGGCCTGATGAGCGTCTCTCCAGAAATGAATCCCATGCAGCGGGCACGGAGTGGAACGGTGAGTCTGCAGAGAACACAAAAAACGATTAGATACAAAACAGCTCTCACAGTCTATCGGCTGATGGTTTATTTGTTTTGAGTTCATCCATTTGTCTCTCCCACTGAGGCTTTATTTTACATTTTTCTTCTTGATGTCCTTTGTGGTCGTTCTTCACCACTGACCGACATCATAAAACGACATCCATTAATCTTTGGCCATCTTTGTTTTCCTCTCCACTCATTGTTCCTCCCACCTAACTCTCTGTCCTCCAGTTTCCTGTAAGTACCTCGGTGTGCTTCACTGTGTGCTCTGCTGTGATGACGTGTTGCTCCTGCTCACAACGCTTTGTTGTGCAGCTGTTAGTGCTCCACTCAAGTATTTAGTCATGTCAGGCGTTCACTTTGTTTTCTCACCCTGAAAGCAGGTTATTTTTAGTTCAGCTCTGGTTTGGTGGAAAAAGCATGTTTCTTGCTTCGTAGAAAGAATTACTGTGAAGATGGAAAATAAAAGAGTGTGACTGTTTTTTTGACTGGTGTGATACTTTGAGCTTGCAGGCCTACGTAGAGCATGAGAAGCTGTAAACCTCAGTTAGCTTCAGCTGCCCTGATACTGATTCTAACCTCTAATATTTCCTGCTTCCCCTCCCAGCTTTCATAAACTAGTCTTCCTTTGCAAACTGTGAAAGTGTGATGCTAGTCTGCAGGTGAAATATTAGCTCATCTTTGGTGTTTTGCCTCTCAAGACATCTTTATTGATTTAGCTTGTTCTTTAGTAACAACAGGTTTCCTCTAATGGAGTATTGATTGAATCCTAAGACAAATGAATCTTCTTTCTTTTAGCTTTAAGTCTTGGTTGAACCTTCCCTCCTCCTCCCTCCTTCATAGTGAATCTTCCTTTCTTCTTCATAGTCGTCTAAATAAAAAATCCTCTAAAACCAGTAAAAGGATACCGATGTTTTTCATATATATGAGGACAGATTTGGTAAGATATCCTAGAATAACAGTTTGCAGGAATAGTCTGTTATATTTTCACAGGTAGAAACACAATGAGTGGTCGAAGTTGTCAGATAAGACAGAAAATCACGTCTTCTGTGTCTTTGTTCTGTGTAGTTCGACATGTTGGAGATGGACCGCCTGGAGAGAAAGCTGGTGAATCTGCCCCTGCTGCAGGACCCTTCATCGTACATCCCCGACACTGTGGACCTCATAGAGGATGCTCTGGCCCGCGAGTACTGGCTCTACTGCTTTGAAGACGCGCTGGACGGGGTGGGATGGCAGTTTATGTTTTGTTGTAGGGCCACAGTGTGCAACACAGACAGAGTGGATTAACTCTAACTGAGAGCAAAAATCTAAAAGAAAAAAGGGACCAAGATGGTTAAAAAATAGTCCATTGCATTGGAAATATTTGATTCCCAAGAACTGTGAGTCAGTAATGCATCTCTAGTGTGGGGTTATAATTTCAAGATTTCTATAAAATAGCTGAAAAATTCATTTTTATTCAGTATATTGAAGTGTTTGTCTTAAAAAAAAAAAAAAAAGAAAGCTAGCAAGGAACTTGCTTCTTAGAATATTCAAACTGAAACACAAAAACAACCCGGCCTAAAGATAGCTCTTTGGTCCTTAAAGTCTGGGAACGGGATTTAAGAATTCAAGATGGCTGGCTGCTAAACCTCTGTAAAGGTCACCATGTCAAAAAAGGCTGTTTTTTTTAAACATACGTTTTGGCCTGAATAGCTCATTTTGTTATTGGTACATTGTCCAGAGGAAAAATACTGAGTCTGCACACCAGAAGCTGCTCCAATTAAATTGAATTTAATGGAATAATCACAAGTAACGTTTCGGGCCCTCGCCCTTCATCAGACATGCACAACATTTTTGTATGAACATTGTACAGAGTGGAATATGAGGCTAAGAGTTTGTGCATGCTTAAGCATAATTTGGGGCATGGCTGATTTGACTGACAGGTGGCTGCCTCCTTCAGTTACAAGATTGATTGAAAGTTAGGTTGAGATGGTCTTTTCAATATGGCGACCACCATTGTTCAGCTTCAAAACTCCTCTTTAGAAACCAAAGTGTGACGTCACTGAGACTGCGTCGCACACTGGAAATCAATAACAGTTTGATAGCACATTACGTAGTCTTTTATTATCCAGTTATCCTTGAAGTTAAGAAAGCCATTAACCCAGAAAGTGACAATGTTTTGTCATATCTTTTTGTTTGTTTGCAGCAGAAGTTGTAAACGTGGGTGACTGATGTTTTTATGTTTTCTGAGCAGGTGGTAAAGAGAGCTGTAGCGAGCCAGCCTGACATGCCGGAGGCCGCCGAGCGAGCCGAGAAGTTCCGTCAAAAATACCGACACAAACTTCAGACCCTCCGCCAACAGCCTTTGTAAGGACAGGTTTTTATTTCTTCTTTCTGTTTGAACCACTGGATGCTTTTAGTGGACTAAACCTCGAGTCTTTTCCTCAGTCTCTGCTTTAGTTTCACATCTTCATACCTTCTGTAGCTACTGAAGTGCTCTGTAAATTACAATTCTTCATGTAAAATCTGTTCAAGTTTACAATAGTGGGGTGCAGGACACCATCACGTGTCAGTCAATGGTTCATTGGCATAAACTGCAGAAATGAACACGTAAACGATTTGTTGAACTTTAACAAAAAAACTCACAAATTCCAGAAAACCTTTCTGCATTTTGAGAGAGTTGTTTCAAACTACTTTACAAGCCCTATCTGTTCAGGTAATAGCATGAATACAACAGTGAAAAGTGCTGTGAACCGCCCGCCGCCGCCCCGTTGTGTGTTTGTTTTTCTCTCTGGCTAATGTAGAGTGCTTCTCTTTTCACCTAGTGCTTATGGATCCCTCACAGTCAGAAGTCTGTTAGACACGAGGGAACACTGTTTAAACGAGTTCAACTTTCCTGATCCCTACTCGAAGGTCTGAGTGAAATCTATCAACATATTTTGTTTGCTCTTTGTGTCCTTCACACGTTCTGTACAGCTCGTTAGAGCCTCACTGATCTGATATGTCAACCAAAAAAAAGAGTCTTATGTTTCAATCTGCAAGGAATGTTCTGATACCATTTTATCGGCTGACACAGAGAGGCCCTCAGTGCCATTAATTACAACAACAACAACATTATTAATTTTTATTTTAAATACACCATATATCTCAAAGCTTTGTGCATGTGACATAATTATTGTTGCTGTTAGTTTGTCTCGCGCAATTAAGGAAACCTGACCTGAAACAAGTAATGCTAACTCAAGCAGCAGTTCAACCTAGACGTAACATCCTGATTATGATGATTAAAAAGAAACACCAGGGACAGAAAATATCTTATTTTGTGTATTTTAAATAGTTTTATTGTCATAAATTCAAAACAGTGGTTCCTAACGTTTTCAATGAAGCCCCTCCCAGTTCAATCAATCTATCAATCAATCATTATTTGTATAGCGCCAATTCAAGTGATATATTATCGAGGCGCTTAACAAAAGAGCCGGTAAAAGCACATACTCGTTAAGATAAATTGGATATGGGTAGATGGGACACTTGAATCTAAAAAAAGGCTGAGCTCGCTCAGGACCCCCCAAAAAGATACATTTCTGTCAAAAATTAACATAAACTTTAATTGTTTTATTTCAACCTGATTTATTTGTGTGGCCGACTAAGGAGCCATATATTTTTGAGTTACATTTTATTTTTCACTTTTTTATCTACAGACCTTATAATAAACTATCCGAAAGTGTTATCATGATTTTGGTAAATATGTGAAAATCTTATTTTGACATAGACAGAGCCATCTAACCTTTAGAGCCCCACCCGGATCCATGTTGGGGAACCAATGCCTTAAATTGTTAGACAGGAAATTCAAGAATTGCTGTCATTTCGCTGACATCTTCAGCTAGCAGCACGTTGTCGTCATTTACTGTCATCATAAGATTATTAATCTAAAATCAATTTTTCTGTGATGTCAAAGGAAAAAAAAAATGTACAGCTGGAATCTGATTAGTGAATTGACTGGTATAGTTATTAAAGCCCTATTCTCCATTTAGGCTGAAACTGAGGCATTAACAATACTAGTGATGGTATCTGAGCAACTCTACACACAATGCCATGATGTTAGAGATCATTGTTTTCCACCTCATGACATTAAGCACTTTTCTAGTCTTGTTCATAAAATTGTTTTTTTCTGGATGCCTTGTGCTCCATCCATCTCTATCATCCGTCTGTTCTCTCGTAGATCAAACAGAAAGAGAACGACATGGCTCTGAAGTACTACCAGAAGGCGGTGAAGTCCCTGGACGAGCTGAGCTGGGAGGAGAGACAGTTCGCCCTCGTCAGGGGCGTCCTGGCCGGGAATGTGTTTGACTGGGGAGCCAAGGCCGTGTCAGAGTGAGTCAACTTTGGTAGTTTTTATTTCCCCCGAGCAGCCGGGTTGATTGTTTACTCTTGTCTGTCTGATTGTTGGTGATTGGAGAAGCTTTGGTTGCATATTTTTCTGTTTCATGCTGCTACAGCCTTGAACATTTTTTATTGTGTTTCGCAGTGTTGCATTTTTTTGATAACCTAGCAGCTCTCAGACAGTCAGACTACAAACAATTGGCTTTGTGGATGCAAAGTTAAAAAAAAAAAAAAAAACATATGAACTGCTTATTGTGCATCTTAACCCAAAATATCTCTGCATCCATATTATTCTTGTTCTTTTTAAGAAGCTAGACCTGTCAGCTGCTTTTGACACAATTAACCATCAAATCCTCCTCTCCACACTCCCAGAGCTTGGTCTCTCAGTACCTGCCCCCCGATTGTCATGCCCTACCTCTCCGAGAGATCTTTTAGAGTTTCTCGAAAAGGGAGAAATGTCCAACTCACACAGCTTATCCACAGGGGTGCCTCAGGGCTCAATGCTCGGTCCCCTTTTCTTCTCCATATGCACTACCTCACTTGGTGCAATCATCCGCTGCCATGGTTTCTCATACCATTGCTATGCTTACGATACCCAGCTCTTCCTCTAATTCATGCTAGATGACACTTCTGTCTAGGGAAAGGTTTTCGCCATGCCTTCCTTGCTGGTGTCTCTAAATGGATGAAAGAACTACCTTCAATTTAACCTCTCAAAGTCTGGGCTCCTGGTCATCCCAGCCTCTCCCTCTATGATGTCACTTCCTGATGTTGTTTCATCCTCTCTAGATCCTTGCTTGTGTGGCTCTTACCCTCAGATGTACATCTCTACAAAAGCGTCCGCCACCTAAATTGGAGAATTGTAGAAAACACCTGACTTACTTTTGACATTGCATGTTTGCTTTTGTTGTCCTGCAGTGTCCTCGAATCTGATCCTGAGTTTGGGTTTGCGCAGGCGAAACAACAGTTGGAAGGTATCCAAATATTTCTCTTCATCTTCTCTTCTCGCATATTGTCTTTATTTCTTCAATGTTACCTTTTGTAGTTTTTACACCAACAGGGATCAGAAGTGCTGCGTCGATATGCTTTTTTCCTGATCTGATTGTATCATGGTACTTGGGCACAGATTTTATTTGAATTGCGATTCTCTAGAATTTAAAAGTGTTGTGATTCAATGACTGTTGAAACAAAAGAGTTGAATCATACACTCACATAGATGATGTAACATGAGTATTATTTTCAAAAACAATAAGCATGCCATGTCAGTTAGCCTTTTGTATTGGCAGCATCATACTGCAAAGAAAAACGATACATAAAAATGTGCCACATGAAAATAAGTTAGTTAAAAAAATAAAAAGAGCCTCTGAAGTGAGAACAGCACACAGCACAAATTTGAGCCTTCAGATTACCATCCTTCTCTTGTTAAATGTGACTAAAAACAGTCCTTTGAAAACCTGGACTACAAATAGAAGTAGAAAATAAACTGTACCACGTGTCCCTGTAAAAAATAAATATTCATGACCAAAAAACCATCAATGCTAAAAAGAAAGTAGACCGATAAAAATGAAATGGTACACACAATCTAAATTCTTTTAAGGTAAATATCTATCAGACTGACTTGATTGTTTCATATGTTTGATGTGTTTTTATAAATAATGTTCTGTGTTTACCTCGCAGAGCGGCCGTGGCTCATCGATTCCTTTGACCGGTGGTTTGAGAGACTAAAGGTCGGTGGTTACTTGTTGTCTTTTTCATGGCAGGTTCATTCTGCTTCCTGTGGATATTTCCTGTACTTGCTTTGTGTTTTCTGTGGTTTGGACCTTTGTGGATCAGTCCTTTAATACATCCGTCCTGGTTTTCTCTTGCAGGGTCCTCCTCATAGGTGTGCCTTGTTTTTCGTCGATAACAGTGGAGTAGACATCATTCTAGGAGTGATGCCTTTTGTCAGAGAGCTCCTCTCTCGAGGAACAGAGGTGAGAGATATGAACAGCAGCATTTTAAGAGACGATGTGTTTGAGTAAATGTGGATTCAACTCTTCTGTTTTCTTGTAGGTTGTGTTGGCCAGCAACTCCGGTCCGGCTTTAAATGATGTCACAAATGGTGAACTGCAAATATTGACTGAAAGAATCGCTGCCATGGATCCAGTGATTCAGTGAGTATATTTACAATCATGCAGGTTATAGAGCTCCACAGTGACCACCCACTTTTTACGCCGGCTCTGGTTCCAGAAGTAAATTATAACATTCAAATCCTCCATTGACTTTTCAGAAAATCCTTAAATCAACATTTTTAATCCTAGAACCAGACAAAAAGACAACCGCTACCTGAACACTTGTGACGAGAAGACATTTGATTACTCAAAACAACATTTTTTAGAAGAAGGAACAAAAAAGCAAAATACAAGACTGTGTGCATATTTTTTCCCCCAGGAGTGAACTACACATCCCACAATCCATTGCGATTCCATTGAGACCCAACAAATGAAAGTTTAGAGTGCTTAATTAAAATCCTACCCAGACTTTGTTTCTGCATTGATCTTTATTGTAGTGTTTATATCCTTAATAATCTGTTTTCAGAGCACCCATTGATCCCCTTTGACGGTTACATAAAAGTTGAATAAGACGTCAAATCAACATGAGTGTGTTCTTTGTGTAGGGCGGGTTTGAGTGAGGACAGGCTGACGTTGGTTCAGAGCGGTTCCAGTTCACCCTGCCTGGATCTGAGGTTGGTTATTTTTACTATTCTGCATTTTTTTAAGGGACTTCTCTTCAACCGGAGATTACAGATCTATCTCTCAGATCTCTCCTGAAGCTCTATTGGATATTTAACCCTAACCCATTGAATATGTAACTTGCTTTATGTGAATGTATCAGAGAGATGCCTCGTGGTGGTTTAACTCTTCTGCCTCTTTCCTTCACCAGCCGTCTGGACAAAGTTCTGGCTAATGTGGTCCGGGAGCGTAAAACCGACCTGGTGATCATCGAGGGAATGGGCCGAGCCATCCACACAAACTACTACGCCATGCTCAGCTGCGAGAGCCTCAAGATGGCCGTCATCAAGAACTCGTGGCTCGCCGACCGGTTGGGAGGGAAGCTGTTCAGCGTCGTCTTCAAGTACGAGGTGCCGGATGGACAACCGAGCCAGGACTCTGCGGCATCGTGAGCGATGGTTTGACAAAAAAAAAAAGGAAAAAGGACAGAACGCCAAAGTCGAGCGAGCAGAGCAGATCAGCTCGAGACCTGAATGTAAGGAGGACGATCGTATACTGCCACTGAGTGAGGGACTGATTAGCAAAGCTGATTTTTGAAATATAGGAGAGTTTTAAAGGATTAGCGGGACGGTTTAACTTTTTGTTTTTTAAAGATTGATTTCCTTCAGGTTTCTGTCCATCATCCTGCACGATCACTTAGTTTGTTTACATCGTTTTCAGCTGCTGGAGTTATCGCACGCGTTATGTTCGGTAAACTTTTGGATGCTGATGAGAATGTCTGAACTTTATACTGTTTAGCATCACTTGTTGACAAGCTTCCAACACGCCTCTAACATTTCACGGAGCACCACTGAGGCAGATGAGGGACTGACTGACTGACTGACGTGCGTGCGTGCGTGCGTGCGTGCGTGCGTGCGTGCGTGCGTGCGTGCGTGCGTGCGTGCGTGCGTGCGTGTGTTTTCTGTTGAGAGCAGCTTTTGTTTTCCAGCATTTCAATAGCAAACACTCGGGTGAACCCATGAATCTTGTGTGTTTTTTTAATTACTGCCGGTGATTGATTTGAGATTAATGGAATCAGTTTAGTTTGTTGTCACTTGTGTAGCTGTTAAAGTGACATCAGGGGGGGAAAGTGTGATCAGAGGGGGAAGCAGCACTTTATCACAAAGAGATTTTGTTCCTCCACAAGGTGGCAGTAGTCGACTGTGACTCATTTTTTTTATTTTTTTTTTTTATTTGAATGATTCCTCAAATCTTTCCTGAAGGTGCTTGGTGTCAAAATCAACACTGCAGATTTCAGGTGAACTATTCTGACTGACTCTGATCAAAGCATCACTGGGAACTTTTATTTTTTTATTCTTCCTCTTAAGTTTGCTGCGGCACAAATCCACAGTCCGGAAATAAGCTGTAATCCATCCCTGCATCGAAACGACATCTGTTTGAAGGCAATAACACTGCAGAAACTAGCTGTAACAAACTGTGCCTGCATCAGTGACTTCATCTATAATATCTGAACTGAAGGTGCGCTCTGATTTAAAATCCTGCCTTCGTTTGAAAATGCTCCCTGAAGTTACGATTGCTTGAACTCACTTTAATACTTATTTTCCATTTGTACATACTTGTGATGTACCAGTATGTGTGTGTGTATGTAAATATTTATACACATGTATACATTCATTTGCGTTATTTCAGTTAAGCACACCGAGCACAAGTTTGCGTCTTATTTTCCTGACAATCAGTTTTAATTAAACAGTGAAAAACATTTTATTTTACTCCTCGTGTCAGTTTTTGTTCCTTCCTCCTCTCAGTGTGTGTGTGTGAGTGTGTGTGTCAGGCGAGTTTGAGTTTTGCAGCTGTGCAGACGAATATGGAGAGTTGAAAGTTGTCCCATATTTAAAAAATTTTAAAAAGCTAACCTGCCCCCGGCAGTATAAAAGCTCGACACCCTGGTATGTGCTGGTTGATGCGTGCTGAGGAGCTGCGGGTTGATAATGCATGAGGACGCCTGGCAGGGGGTCCTCCTACTTTTCCTCTCGCTCGTCACTATGACTGCCAAAACACACACACACACTCTCTCTCTCTCTCTCACACTCACACACACACACACACATATCAGTTCTGCCAGACGCCCTCATGGATTTAGTGACATCTATGTATGACTGAGTAATATTTGCCCTGCTTTTAAGATCTTCCACATTTGCTTCCTTGCAGCTTCAGTGCGCTCTTGGACCGTATGAGACATTGGACTAAGACCTCTGCTTTAACAGCAACACACCCACGCTGATGCGATGATTCATTTCTAAGCATGTTGTGTCTTTTTCTTGGATAGTTTTGCAGGTAAATCAGAACTTCCAGGGGCGGCACATCTGGTGTTTCACTAAGAGCTGCACTGAACTACGCCTGCTCAATATGAGGAGAATATGATGAGAATGTAAAATGTGGTGTGTGCATTTGAACTGTGCACAAAAATAAAAAGGTTGCCTCTCTCACTGACATTTTTTCCTAATGTCTAGCCCTTTGCTTGTGTCATACTTCCTTTCAGATGTGCAGTACGTCGCTTTAGACATGAAATCGTAACGTAACACACAAATATCACCACACATGTATGAACATTTAACGGCAGTTAAGAAGGTTTAACGAGCAGCAGTTTGATAGGATAAGGTTTGAAAATGACTTATTATCCATTAGCTTATCTATAGCTAGAGATCAGTCCAGTAATCGATTGTTTAAATATAAACACCATGTCTCCATCTCCTGCGGTTTTTAAAAAAAATTGAAGCAAAAACTCCTGCTGCCACAAGTGCTGGTGACATCATATCTAGTGAAGACATGAGCAGAAGGAAGCTGGCTGGTAAAGACCCAGAATTCCTTCTGAATTCCTTCTGCTAACCAAAGCACATGTTAGTGCTACCTGTCGATAAATTAACCCTCAGGTCCGTACAGATTCTTGTGTTGGTTTGCAGCCGACGATCACATTTATGCAAAGTTCAATGACTGACATATTCCTTATGCTTCTTCTCGTCGTCCCTCCTAAACTCTGCTAATCCAGTGAAGAACGTTGCAGGAGTCGAATATGTCAATAGAGCTGTCAATCATGACGTTACATCTGATGTTTGCATCAAAAACTTACAACTGAAGTTCTCAGAAAAAAGACACTTGGGGCGCTGGTGGCACAGTGGTTAGTGTGCGCAATCCCTTGCTCCTCCAAGCGGGCGGCCCAGGCTCGAATCCCGCCTGTGGCTCCCTTCCTGCATGTCATTCCCCACACCCTGATTTCCAACTCTATCCAATGTATCTCTACATTAAAGGCACAAAAAGCCCAAAAATAAATCTTTAGAATTTTTTTTTTTTTTTTAAAGAACACTTGATCATAAATAATTCTGATAAACTAACCATGATGATATTTTATTCCAGTTTGCCCCTTGTCCCGTGTGTTGACATGAAGGAGGTGGGATTTATGACCTATACCGCAGCCAGTCAGTAGGGGGAGCTCTGAATATTTTGGCTTCACCCTGAGGCAGCTGTAGCCTTGTCCATCTTTTTTTTTTTTATATACAGGCATGGTCCAGCTCTTTTCAGATTTGCTAAACGGTTTGAATAAATGTCTCTTGCATACTAGGCTCCATGTGATAGGTCGTCTCTTGAGAGGATGAGAGAGAAATCACCGTGCCAGAACATACACTACTCTGTGTTTCAGGCGGTGTGTTTGTTGAACACATTCATCAAGTAATGATGATAAAAGAATTCCGATCTTTGTGTTTTTGACCAAACACAAAGATCCCGCCTTGACAGACTTGTTCGTGCAGCTGCAGCGGGCTGAACTTTTTTCACGGCGTGGCTTTTCACTGTGTAACTTTCTAATTACAGGCGAGACTCCGAACACGGTGATAGCGCAGGCCCTGAGAAAAACAGAGCGCCATTGACTGCCACTGTTTGCACAACACTAATTACTCGAGTTACAGTAAACAGTGATTTCAAAAGATGTTTCTCCAGCTTTAATTCAACACACTGTAGCTGAACCTTTTGTGGATTCAGAGTAACAATAACAGTAATTTGATTGGCCGTGTGACCTTAAAGGCACAATACAGCGCTTTGTGTGTGCAGAAGCAGGTAAATGCTGCGCGTTTCTCTCGGCTCTCCCGTTGTCATTTGTGATAACTTTCGGTTTTCTCAAAAGCTCTTTCTGTTTATTGTGAGGTAATATTTGCAACTGATTAACTCGACTCTTTGTGTGAGGCGGGTGAAAATAAGTGTACTTAGACATAAGTAGCTACAACTATCTCTGTTATTTTAAAGATCGATAGTATTGAAGAGGACTCAAAGCTTTAAAACAAACACATCTTCATGTTAGTCATATTTTTAACCAAAGCTTCTGCAAGCAAGAGAGAGAGAGAGCAATGTCTTAATTGCACAATTGTTTGGATGCAAATTTGTGTAATGGAAAAACAATAAAGTACCTATGACTTCTATTTTTGTTACCTTTGCATCTTTAAAAAGTATCGATATCATTTAATCTCGACTAGAATCATGCATAAATTTAAAAATACCAGTGCCGTGACAACCCATAACTTTTTTTTTTTTTTTTTTACCAAGTTTGAAGTCTTTGAAATTGGCTGAGCCACTTCATTCTCACTTGTTCTTGTGTCTTCGGGTAGGAATCACTGATCAGCTGCATTCACAGAGAAGATCTGCTGCTTCATGTCATATCTGGAGAAGCTGCAGTATCTGTGACAACATGTCTGTTAAATAATGAGAGGAGAGGGGGGGAAAAAAGACGGTTTGATTCTGTCACTGACTCCCATCATGATCTCTGAGAAAAAGCTTTCTCAGTCTCTCACAGGAGGCACACAGGAGCTGCAGGGGTCTCACTCAAATGCCATCTTGTTCTTCACAGAGCCGCTGACATCTTGCTCAATTTTATTTTTCCCAGACACGAGCGTGAAGCAAAACATGGAAATGTCAAGTTGGGATGAAAGCCAAGGAATTGTTCTAATGTGTTTTAAAGTACCAGAAATACTCGCAGTAAGATCAGCGTGCAAACTGGCATCATAACAGGTTTTAAAGCGCATTAACACAATGCACACAAAACAAAGAATGCATGATTTGTATGTAAGACATTCAAAGAATCCCACAGTATGAATACTTTGTACACACAACACTGCAGCCTTTACACTGTAAGATTCTGAAGGCATGTAAGCCTGTTATCGTCCTTCAGCAGACTCAGCCCCTCTGCGTTACACTCGCACTTCACTAAGTGGCTTGTCAGCATTGTTTGCATTCAAACCAAATCACTATAAAGCTTGTTCGTTGGTTTCAATAACGCTAACAAGCTATTTTCTTCAGAGCGGACCAAACAGAAAGAAAACAAGACTAGAAGAGAGACTAAAACGCTAAATGTCAACAAATTCCCTCAAGTGATTTCTACACAGTCATTCTGCAAATATGGTGCGTTTGAATCTGCCGACGCGCAGCGGGCTCGTAGTGTAGACACAGAATTAGTCTTGCTGGCTCTCTGCAGTCAATTGACTTCGTATGATGAAGACAGAACAGGCCATGAAAAATGCAGTAACTGCAGAGGATATGCACAAAGCCAAAACTCACCGCTCCGCGTTGCTGCAGGTTTTTACAGCAGAAAATGACTCCTGCAAAAGAATGTTTCATGCAGGAGCCATTTTTAATTTTCGTTTAGATTGACACAAGGTCACATAATTCTTCTCTTACAAACAGCATGGAGAAAACTATGGGACAGCCAACAATTACACCCAAATATGATCGTTGAATATCTTTATCAGAGTCACAGGTATGACTTTATTTCAGCCTTCACTCCTCTGAGAAAGCTTTCTGCCTGTTTGTAACCTGGCTGCAGGGATTTGATTCCATTCATCCATAGATCTTTAGTGAGATCAGACAATTTGGGGATTTTCCCACAACTGGGAAAAGTTTATTTGAACAGAGATATGTGCACAGAGCAATATCTTAATGGAAAAAGTCAACAGGCTCTTCAAACTGCTGCCACAATGTCTGAAGGACACTTACTCCACTGACTCCACTTTTTTAAGATATCAGGTCATTTCAAGTATCACTGCTAAAGAGGAAAAAAGATGTATAAAACCTAGCCTTTCTCTAGAAGTAGCTGCATGAAATAAATATATTTGGTCTAAATACTAATAATGTGGAATTTAAAGGAAGTGAGGTCACCACACACAAACTCTGAAAAAGTAGCTCCTGATACCAGCAGCAATAAATCGATTAATCTCAAAAATCCAATGCTGAGCCACATGCTGGGCAGGGCGTGTCCAGACTTTTTTTTTGTTTTTTTTGTTTACCGGGGTGGCCCAACTAGGGAACTCACTAAAGCAGGCGTGGCCAATCATATCTGTTTTATAACACAAGACAATGGCAGCACATATATCTCCTTAGCATAAAAAAACAGATGTTTGGTTAAAGTCACGCAAACTCCTGCACACTTTCTAGCTAAAATGAATAAATTGGCAATGTTCTGGTGCTGAAACATTTGGGTTAAGATAGACTGTCCGTTATTTCCAATGTACAGTCTTCCTTATGGAATAGATGTGCAAGGTATTTAAAGTACTAACAAGTCAGTCAGTTTTCAACTCCAGTCCCACCTCTGACAGGGCGAATAGCCAATCACAATTCAGTATTGTTGGAATGGCCGATCAGATCAAATCAAGTGGGTCCCATGCCACCCCTGGCCACCCCTCTGGTCACGCCCCTGATGCTGAGACAAGCCCCTCTGATGCACCATTCATTCAACCAGCTGGCCCTGACACGGACGCGCACACGGGAGCGCGCACTCTGAGCCGGTGGTGACTCTCCTCCTCATAAGAAGCAGGAGTGAGTCCGGATGCTCAGCACATCCCGGAGAGCGAGCGGACTACAGAGGTGCTGCTGCTGCTGTGTTTCCATCCTGTCCGCTGAATGACTGAGCTGCTGTTCAACCCATAAAAAACAACAGCAAAGGAAAACAACAACAACAACAACAAACAAACGCGGGTGAGGAATCCCCTTTTATTGCATTATTTTTACTGTGAGTGCCTGGGGTTGAATTGTTAGGCTATTTGCTTTTGCCGGAACGGAAACCCTCCAGCATCGTTTGTTCAATATCTGTGGAGGGTTGAATGTTGTTTCTGAGATATTAAGATTACTTTACTGTGACTTTATCGCACATTTTCCAATATATAGTGCATTTCTTGATGCAAAATATCAAGTGCAATTCGCGGTTGTTCAGCTACTATCCTACTTCAGTCCTAATCGGACAATCTAAGCACTGTATCATCAGACTGCCACGATGTCCACCTGCGCGTAAAAACGCAACAAGCACGCATCTCATTGTTGTCAAAAAGCAAAAATAACTTATTAAAAGCATGATGTTTCGTCCAGTTTGACTGATGAAACCACAGTTGGACTTGCAGAGAGAGAGAGAGAGAGAGAGAGAGAGAGAGAGAGTGTCGATCAACTCAGACTTGTCAGAGGCAGAATGAGTGTGTGCAAACAGTAAATCAGATTTGGTTAGAGAGCAGAACATTTTATGTGGAGGTGATAATCAATTTAACTTCAGTGATGGCGGTGTTTCCCGCTGTCATGCTTTAAAATCAGATCACAGAAAGAGTTGGTGGTGAGGAGAATCAGAAATGATTGCAGCGATTATCTTCCTGACAGCTCATTGTTGCTCTGCACACCAAAGACAGTGTGTGTGTGTTTGTGTGTGTGTGTGTGTGTGTGTGTGGGTGTGTGTGTGTGTGTGTGTGTGTGTGTGTGTGTGTGTGTGTGTGTGTGTGTGTGTGTGTGCGTGTGTGTGCGTGTGTGTGCGTGCGTGTGCGTGCGTGTGCGTGCGTGTGTGTGCGTGTGTGTGTGTGTGTGTGTGTGTGTGTGGGTGTGTGTGTGTGTGTGTGTGTGTGTGTGTGTGTGTGTGAGAGTGAGAGAGAGAGAAAGGGGAGGGGGGGATTAAAATTAGAAGTCTCAGTGTGAAGCCTTGATATCAAAGTGTAACACTCTGCACAGGAGAAATATTTGCGGACTCACATTAACGAGTTAATTTGAATGAATCGCCCTCAATCAGCAGAGAAGCATCAGCAGTGGTCAGGAGGAGCGTGGAGACTCACAATGAGCTGACCTCGGGGCCAAAACAAAACTCTAATTCATTTGGGAGCTGAATGCCTTTCCCACTTGCTCCACCTGTCTTGTCTTTCTTTGGTTCATCATGTGACTGCCTCTTATTGAATAGTTGAGGTGAGGACACACACCACAGATGTTTCTTTGCAGGACCTGATTGGTCAAAACATGTTGACTACTTTCAATGATTTAGAGATTACATGAAAGGCCTTTTTAGTATTTCCTTCCTCTTTGTTACTTTGTGCGTCTGGTTTCCCCGCTGTTTGAGTGTAAAGCTGAGAATCTCTCACAAAGAGATATCCGGAAGACACACTTAGTGGAAGTTAATTATTTTCCCCAAAAATGTGTCATGTTCAGATTTCAGATGAGTATCTGGAGTTTGTATCATAAATCTAAATCAGTGATTGGTGGACTGTGGTGGTTTCGGCTTGCACTCGAAGTGACCCGAGCCTTTATCTTAGAACTGTTAAACCAATAACAATATTTTCCTTTCCTTCATCTGTTGATTTTTTTCATGATAAACCATTAGGCTGTTTTGTCCATACAATGCTAAAATGTCTTCAAATCGCTTCTTTTTGTCTAAACCCAAAATATATATATATTTTTCTCATGAATTAAAAAGATAAGAACGGAGCTTGAACTTGAAATGATTTACAACTTTGCTGTAGAGTTTCGGCCCCCGAGGATGCACTGGTGTCCCACTTTGATTTTCGCCCCCTGCCCCTCAAGCATCATGAGTCCACCAGTGGGCTATGCTTCATTAGCTTCATAGAGGGACATTGCAGCAAAGCTTTGTGTCCACCGATGAAACGAGTGCAGTCGGCAGTTCGGGGCCATTTCAGGTACACCACATCACTGGTTCTTAACTGGTGGGTTAGGACCAAAAAGTGGGCCGCAAAGCCGTGATAATGGGTCATGAATTTGTACCTGGAAAATAAATTGTCAAGAAGTAAATGAAGTGATCTTTGTTCTGTTCCCTCCTTGGTTCAAACTGCACAATTTGTCATTGGTTGATAAATATCAGAAATTTGGGTCGCAGTTCCTCATTAAGGAGTTGGTGGAGGGTCCTGAGGCTAGACCAGTTGAGAACCACTGCCATAGATGACCGGGGAGTTAATCAAGACAACGTAGCAAAAAAGCCAGTCTAATTTTACACACAAGTTATGTTATTAGATAAGAATCTTGAAAATGAGACGATGTTACTTAGACTATAATGGAACCGACAAAATCTATAATCGATGCATCCCCAGACATAACTGTGATTGACAAATCACTCTAAAACCAAAGTAGGAATGTACGAATGTATATCCACCCATTGGTCCAAATATGGTCCCTCTAAAATATACAAGATAGCTTAGGCCAAAGAGCCAAACTCAAGGTTTCAAACAGGGTTTACAAACAAAGATGTGACTTCATTTGAAATGAATTCATCAACTTTCCATAAATTCAGAACAAGGGGAAAATTAGACTTTAAGCTGTACGCTTGTCTTTACTGACATTGTTTCCTTGCTTGTGTTGTTCTTATCTCTGATGTTCATCGCTTTGAATAAAAGCGTCTGCTTAGAGGCAGGGTTGGTCATTTTCTCCAGATCCACTTTTTAAGATTTTGGTATAAATTGTCTTTAGGTCCTGACAGAAATTAATAACTCATGTTCTCTGAAAAAGTAATAAAGAAAATCAGTCATCTGTATCAGTTGTAAGCCTGTAAAAACTTCGACCAATGTCTGCCACGAGGTACCAATCTGATGAACCAATCACGCCTCCCTGTCTCCCTGCTCGCTCTCTACCTCTTGTGTGCACTAGCCCACACTCAAAGTGCGTCACCGATGACGGCGTTTATACTGTGAGTTTACTCACAGCTGAATGAGACGACATAGTTTCTACACAATGCAAGAGATGAACTGAGGTCCACTTCTGGAGCAATGGTGCTCGTGCATGAACGTGAGGGGGCGTGGCTTTTGAGGGAGCACAGAGGGGAAGGGGGGGGGTGTAGACGGAGCACTGAGGGAATGCTACTTTCAAAATCATGCTAGTTTTTTTTTTTTTTTTTAAATGACCAACCCTGCCTTTAATGAATTATAGTGAAACAGTCAAACAAGAACTCATCACAGTTTGCAATTGATGTCATTTTGGTCTAGAATTCAAAGAAGTTTATTTAGACATTTAAGAAAATATTAGAATTTCTAACCAAAATCTAAAAAGTAGTATTAAAATAGATCCTGGTAAAAAATTGAAAGAGAATGACACAATAAAGAAAAAACGCCTCTTTCAGCTCAGATTAAAACAAAAAAAATACAGCTAATGAACCAAACATGCAAATGTTTATTTTTCTCTTCTTGAACGCCACTGTCTTTGCCAAACATGGCTGCATCTGTTTGATGAGTGCGGCTCTTTCAACGTTGGCAGCCGGTCAACGCCGCTCGCTTCGACCAGAGGAGGGAGAGAGAGGGGGGTGGGAGGGGGGACTTTGGGTTCATATAATGCGTTTACATGCTTCACTTGATCGCCTCTAAACAGAAGTGTTTCCCCCCCGCTGACCGGTCAAACTGTTCCCAGGCGGAGATAACAGACCCAGGTGTCCCGGGGAGTGTTAGCGAGGAACAAGTTTTGTTGCTGGTTTTGTACGCCAACGGGTCGTTTGTGGTTCTGTGCTTCAGCTGGTGTCCTTATCTGCCACCAAACGGAGGATGCCACAACACTTTGTTCTAATTAAGACATGAAAAAAATGGCGTCCTGCTTTGATTCCTCTCCTCTCCTGATCTCTCTCTCCTCTTTCCTTTTCTAAATTACATCTAATTTTCTCGTCTCCTCTCACTTTCTGCCCCCCTTCCTCCTCGTCCTCCTCTCCCTCTTTGTCTCTCTCGTTCTCGCTCCTCACCGTGGGACGCCTCTTGCTCGCTGCTTCTGGTGCTGTTTGTGTCTCACAGCGTTTTTGGAACTAGTCTCTGTGTGGGTGTCTGGAGGAGGTTTTCCCGCTGTGAGTGTGCCTGCTCTGATTGAGGGAAAGTCTCCCAGTGTGTGTGTGTGTGTGTGTGTGTGTGTGTGTGTGTGTGTGTGTGTGTGTGTGTGTGTGTGTGTGTGTGTGTGTGTGTGTTTTGTGTGTGTGTGTGTGTGTGTGCAGGCCTCGGTGCTCTCAGGATGTCACTGATGTCTCCATGCATCAGTGACAATGTTCTGGTGTCGCCACACATCTGTTGTACCTGCGACCAAATTACCTCTGAATCACTCACCGTCTCGCTGCTCTCTGCTGCAGCTCACTTGCTGACAGATGGACCTTCCTTATGGCCCTCTTTTTTTTATCACCCTGTGTCGCTTCCAGGGGCCTTTTGCCATCCAACACACCTAAAAACCCTCCCAGTCGATGTGTGAATATTGTTTTCTTAGACAAAGCACTTTTTTATTGCTGAAGTCGCTGTTATTGGCCCTCGAGGAAATGAAGTTTTATCGTGTAAACTGCAGCTCGGCAGACGCGTTTATTATGCAGAGAGACGCTAACTGTGAGCTGTAATTTGGCTGCTTGTTATTGAGCTGATATTTATGATAATTTGATGGCACAAAAAATACCTATTTTACCCAAGATGAGAGACATAAAAGGCAGTGTTTATGCTCTAAATATTCAGATTTATTGGTTTAAGACACAGAGAAATGGCTCTATTTGGAGAAAAATAAAAGCATTCAGCTTTATTTGTTAAGTATGTGTACAACAAGGAATTTTACTCAAGTTTCACAACGCTCTTAGTGTTCATACAAAAGGCCGACCATAATGGCGGGAAGGGGGGATGCCTTCTGGGGTCCGGCTGCATGAGGTTATTGCATGACTTTTAGCAAAAACATAATCGGTCCTAAATTTGCGCATGATAACACCATTTTGTTTTACATTT